ATCCGTTATTACTTATTTCCTCGGCACATGTATGGATGTTGCTGTCGTCATTATTTGTATATTTTGTTAGTAAACTAGACTTTTGTCATTTGTAGGCTGGTGCAGCTGTCTCCGTTATGGGTGCGAAAAATGAGAAGTTCAAATTGCAATTTCGTAGGTTTTTTCCAGAGCCGCGAGCCCGTGCCAGTGTCCGAAACTCTGATTCTGGCTCGTTAGTGCTGCTTATACTTGTAGGAAGCGGGGTGATGCAATATGAGACGACGTGTGGACAAAAGTTATCAGCAGAAGCTGTTAGGCAAAGAGTCGTGCCAATATTTTATGGCCCTGTTGTTGGTGTTGCTTTTGTTGCCCACATTTCAATATAATTTGCACGCCAACAACAAATTGGAAGATAATGACGATGAGGAAAAAAGCTGAGCTGAAATAGTCTGCGCGTGGCGTTCCATGCCATTTGCTCATAATGGGCATGGGAACATAAACACAGACACACGATAGCACGCACACAAGCGCAAATATATTAACATACGGCGCATGGACAAACCGACGGACGGACGTACGATCGATCAGATAGGTATGGGGGAACGGGCGTTGGGGTCCGAGCATACACATGTCGCTGCCGCTCTGTGCGAAATTTAAAGCGCAAAATAAACGCTTTTATTTTTAAAATTGCAATTACGGTTCGCGTCGTCTCTGGCATTGTTTTTATTTTTTTTAATGAGCGTTTTATGTAAGCGTGTCGTTTATGTAAGCGGCAGACAACAAAGCCAAGAGTTCTAAGTACATACTTAATAAATAAGCACATGAGATTCGAGTATGATCATTGGACTCGCCTGAGATCATCGCTAGTATCGAGCGTCTAATCGTAGACAGAGCAGATAAGCTGGAGCGATTTTCGGTCCCAATACAGCCTGGCATAGACTTTAGACCAACATGCCAATGAAAACAAATATGAAATGCTCACATTAAATAAGGCTCTTAGAAACTATGCACCCAAATAGAAAAACATTTGTTCACATGTTAGATTTCAGTTTCAATATTTTGAAATCAATAAATTATTTACAAATCATGTGCGCCATAGAACCTAAACCTCAACCTCTCATGGAAAAATGACATTTATGTCTATATGTATGTATATATGTAGCTTCCTTTAGACTTCATTGATGCAACTTTATTTATAGAAAAATAGTAATAAACATAATTCAAACTGATCTACTTCATTTAACTTTTTGGTGAATGCGTATAGTACTGTCTACTAGTATATCAATAAGTTAAAAACAGTTAAAAGTTAAAAAACAGCACTGTCGGAGAAAAATTATGCATTATTTTTGCAAAGAACACATCAATTGTACTTCGCATTTCAATCTTTCTCTCCGTCCTTAACGCCATGAAGTAGCGTTCTAAGGACATACCGCTGTCTAGAGATCTCTATTCAAATGTACTGTTTATATATACATTTATGCGGTTTTACATACATACAAAACTATTTAAATAGCGACGCGAGAGTTTTATTGTACACACTATATGTATATATATTGTCAAGGCCGACAACATCCTTTCTTTTCTCGTCCTTTGTTAATTCGCTGCGTCTGCATTCCTGCACGTAGGCACAGCCTGGATTGCTTTGGAATTTGTGATAATTTATTTTCAAGGGTGAACTGGAAAATGTGTAGATATTTTGTAAGCCTGTAAGTACTTGCTCGTCTTTAAACGGACCCACGAAGTGCAAAGGAAATAAAATGGTACATGGGCATATATAATAAAAATAATAATATCTAGTTTAACTTATTTATACAAATAAAATTCAAAGCCTGTTTGCTTTTCTCTTTTGGATTCATATACGGGTTTCGATCGCAATCAAACTATGTTTTGATGAGCGGATGTCATATGGGAAATGGGGTTCACAACTTTTGTAAAATCGGAATCATCACTTGATGCTGTAGTTTTGACACATGTATCTAATTGTTAGTTGAAGCGATTTCAATTATGCCTTCAGAGTTGGCATATCAGAATAAAGCCGAGATAACATGGTATTGACCTGATGTAATAGCTAATTAAGGTACAGGTAAAACGCACATAACTATATAATATGTATATAGCAAGATAAGCAAGATGATTGCGTTTGGTGTTATAATTACAATAACTTTCATTAATGTGTTAAAAACAATAAAAATAAAAGAAACTAAAAAAAATGATGAGGTTATTAAAAACTAGATACTCGAGATGTCTGTTGGGGAGATCAATAGAGTGCGATCTTCTCAGCATCCTCACAACCCTGACACCTCTTATTCTGAGCTGTTTTCAGTAGGCGCCTGGCAAGTCGTTTGGAAGGGTTTTTAGGCGATCCGTATAATCTTGGGATTGGCGGTTTAGGACATCGCAAATTTTGGCGGCTTTCAAATCGCCGCCTTCTGTGTTTACTTACATACATACATACTTGTATATGATTTTAAAAAAAATAGGGTATAAATGTAAGAATTTTGTCCTTTGTGTGCATACAGACGGAGCTAAAACTCAAACAATTTTTTTTAAGCTGACCGCATAAACTATATGGAAGTATGTACATATGTATAATAATTGAGAATTTATAAAATGTAAAAATTTTAATGACAGTCGTAGTCTTTTGAAATAAACATGCGCACAGCACCAAGTCTCATTTTACTACACATATGTACATATGTACATACTTATGTACGTGCACACGCGCTTATGAAATAATTGCAGACAGACAAAAACAAAAGCTACAATTATGTAGTACATATGTACATATGTATGTATGCATGTTCATACTTGTATTGCTGTTTCAATATCAATTAATTTGTTAGTCCCACAACACGCACGTGACTGTCGCCCTTCCTATCTTTTATAATCGCAAGCTCATGTTTATTTGCTGACAGTTTTAAGCTCCACATACCGTCCTAGTCTAAATTGGCAAACAGAGAAATAGAAAAAACGGAATCAAGTTGGTCACATGATAAACCCGTGAATTCCAAAAATTTCCACTGAAACACAAAACGTGTGAATAGGTCTGGCGCACGCTTTGTTTAAGGAGCTAATCAGATTCTAGATACACCGAATAACTCAAGCCAAAAAGGCAAAACAAAACAATTAGCTTTCGCGTTTAGCAAGCTGGGCTAGCGGGCAGCTGGTCCGTTAAAGATAACAAATGGCACAAAGAGGCAGTGCCAAAAAAGTAAAATGTGCTAAATGTAGTATAACAAATCGATTATTGATTAGTAATAATTCAGCATGACAAGCAACGGGAGGATTAGCAATGCTTGTGTAATTATTAGCCGCCTATTAAATGGGATAGGGTATGAGGGGGTTGAGGCAAGGTATAGTGTTTGCTTATTAGGCTACTTAGCGATAGTGTCAACATTTGTCGTGTGTTTACGCTTATCATATTAAAAAAATAGTAATAATGTTTATAAGAGTAGGTAGGTGTGTGTGTACATGTGTTATTTATGTGCGAATTTCCGCTCAATCAAACTAGATCCAAGTGGGTCGAACAAAGAAAAGGCACAGAAATCGAGACATGTACATAGGTATGTCCATACAACAGACCGATTGTGCACACTTATTAGTATATACATACCAATGTATGTAGATATATGTACATATATATCAACCGTGTCAAGCTGTAACACGGCCAATATTGACGCAGAGGGAAAATACAGAAATCAACACACATGCACATACATACATTTGTATAAAGCGTGGCTGGCTGATAAGCCTGACTAACGTAAATCCACAATGGGCAAAAGTAATTTATTGCAAAAATTTCCAGCCAGAAACAGTCGCAGATTACAGCTTGGCTATTATTGGCATGAGACACATAGTTTATAGACTAAACTAAAAATAATATGCAAATAGCAACGAGTGCCAACTGTTGGGCTAATTATAGAAGTAATTCATATACACAGAAATGTATGTATGCCTACGTGTGTGCATGCTACATGCATATGTACATATGTAAATGTATTTGTATTTACCTATAAAGTTTAAATTGCTCAGCGCTGTGCCGCTACTTGTTGACAGCTTATCAATTACAACTGGTGCTATATTACAAAAGTCTGGGTCATCTACATCGAAAATGATGCCATCTTCCCATTCTGTAACAATATGAGGCGGAAGTTGTTGTTGCGGCATTTGCAGTTGTTGCTGCTGCTGTTGTTGAATGTTGCTGCTGGTGAACGAATTGTTGTCACTACTTGTTGCAGAACGTTGTTTCATCTGCGGAATAGAAGAGTCACGTATATTATTCAATTAGTGAACTGCGAAATGAACGGTTGCTGATATGCAAATCACACGGCACACACTATACATAAGTACATGCTTATGTACTCATATGTACTTGTATACACGTGGCTTGAAAACAATACGGAATTGTGGCACAAGACAGCTTGAAATTGGAGTGCGCGGGCAACTGAGAGGGGAGCAGTGGCAGGACAGCTGTTGCTGCCTTTCGCAGAAAGGTCAAACACACTTGCCCTCACACAAACACAATACACCCACACATTCTTTGCACATACGCCTATGCTGATGGCTGCACTTATTAATCGATCCAGCAGGCAAAGTGCATTAATGCAAAATCAATAGATTTACTTGTAAATTTGGGTGAAGGCTGCAACAACATGCATGTGTGTATGTGCAGAAATTATTGTTGCGTTTTGTTCTTCTAAAATGCATTACGCACATATACATTCATGCATATCCATATGTCTGCACATTTTTATTTGTGTTGGTACGCGAGGGCACTTACCTTTCGCTTGCTATTTATTGACAGACAACACTTGATGTATAAAGTTAGGATACAAGCCGCTTTGCCAGCAATTTAAACGTGATAGTGCAATTATTTGCAGCACCGACCGCTTTTATATACAAGTGAATTAACAACAATTACTGCAACATGAACAACTGTGCTGCCGCTGCTTCTTCCCATACGAGCATTCACAGGCAAGTCCCGTAGTGCTGTAAAACACCAAGGCCTCGACTCAGTTGGCAGCGCCTATCTATATAAGTAACTATAAAATATCGATATATTCTGCACCCCTGGGCAGGCCCTACATCGCCAAATTTACTTAAATTCAATCCAAATTAACTGTTACACGATAGCGCAGCCACAAAAACAATGCGCATCATCACAAAAGCAAGTGCGACAAGTGCATAAGTAAATAAATATCAGAAGTATATTGGAGTTTTAAACGCATCGCAAGACACAACCACCAACTCCAGCGTGTGTTACTGTGTGACCTGTAGCAATAGCAATGGATGAAAATATGTGGTAAATAAACATTGCCTGCTGACACTCACTCATGCACAAACACACGCACACACACATCGATCCGTATCTTAGTTAACATTGTAGCAATAGGTTGCACCGTTGACGTCGACGTCGACATCGACATCGATGTCAACTCAATACAATTATTAATTGAAAAAGGAACTGAATCATTCGTCCATCGACGGCCACCGCATGTGGAGGCTAGCTTGGAGGCCTTCCCGTGGTGACACACCGTTTAACGACAAGAAGCCGTTGGTGATTTAGTCGTCAGTCATCCTTATCAGTTCGCCCATTTGCGGTGCGTAACAGCTGCTTTACAATTAATTAGTCTCGCTGACCAATCTTGTCGTCATCAGTGCTGCTATTTTGTAGTTTGTTGTAATTGTTGCTGCTTCTGCGACTGTGCATGTGGCTGTTGCGACTGAAACAAACACATTTCTTCACACATTATGACTGCACCATCTAGTATTTGACCCCAATCTCTTTCTATTTCTTTTTAAACATTGCAGGATAATTGAGCTGGAGTCGGCACTCCTGGATGATTGCAATGTAAATGATATCTATGGAATTTGCCAGGGCAAGCCCTTGCCTGAGGCCTTGCGTCCAGACGTGTGGCAAGTATGCCTCGATGTGCGCCACAAAAGCGATCAAATGTCGCTATTCAACGAAATCTACGACCTGCCCTTTCAAAGTCAGCTGCGCGAGGACTGCCAAAAGTATGTGGAGCGTATGGGCAACGAGGAGGAGGACAAAGTGTCGGTTGTATCGGACCTGGAGTCCATAATGACCTTCTACTGCAAGAACCGCAATCTGCAATATGAGGCCGAAAATGGCTGGATTGAGCTGCTCCTCCCACTCTTTGCTCTCAAACTCAATCGCTCCGACACATTTAATCTCTTTGAGGCCATACGAGACACCTACATACCAAAAGGATGTAAACCCAAAGGCAATGTCTTCCATGTATTTCGACTGCTATTGCTCTATCACGATCCTGAGCTCTGCACTGTGCTGGACACCAAAAAAATCACACCGGACCTCTACTCGCTGACCTGGTTTCAGTCGCTTTTCGCCTCTTGCAGTAGTCTGTCCGTCATAATTGCCATGTGGGATCTGTACTTTCAGAACGCCGATCCCTTCATGGTCTTTTTCTTGGCGCTCATCATACTCATCAATGGACGTGAGCAAATCTTGGGCATGAAGGGTTCGTCGAAGGAAGAAATTGTCAAGTTCCTCAGCAACATGCCTTGTGCACTCGAAGTGGACGATGTGCCTGATTTTTGTTCTTTAGCGCAGTATTATGCGCTAAAAACGCCAACATCCTTTAAAACGGACTACTTGAAGGCGCTGTACGGCAAGCAGAATGACACCCCTCGCAGTCAGGAGGAGTCCAACAAGGTGTCGCAAGCTCTGTGTTTGCCCGTCTCCGTCTACGAACTGGTTGAGAACTCGGCTATGGAGTTTCCTGTGCAGGATGCCGTGCGCTTCTTTCTCGTTGACTGTCGTCCAGCCGAACAGTACAATGCGGGTCATTTGTCAACAGCATTTCATCTGGACTGCAATCTGATGCTGCAGGAGCCTGTGGCCTTCGCTACGGCCGTGCAGGGTCTGCTCACGGCACAGCGACAGGCCATCGAGGTGAATTCGAATGCCGGCGGTGAGCATTTGTGTTTTATGGGAAGTGGACGCGTGGAGGAAGATCAATATACGCATATGGTGGTGGCTTCATTCCTGCAAAAGAACACATCTTATGTTTCCTTGCTCACCGGTGGCTATGCAAGCATACACGACTATTTTGGCGATCACATGGCCGACTGTCTGGAGGATCACAATGTGCGAAATTGTCTTGTTTGTCAGCAGCACAATGTGCAACAGGTGCGTAGTCCACGAGCATTTTTAGTGTATACTCTTCATCACTTAAGTATTTCTGCCAATCTCTCAGATTAAACACGCGCCGCTCAAACAGCAGGCGGTCCACTCGTCCACGGACTTGTTCAGCAAGTTCTCGGCAGTCATGAAGTCAAAATCTGCCGAAGTCAAGGGAAAGCTACTGGACATTATTGTTAATCCGAGCTCCAATGGCGGCAGCTCAGCAGCCAATATTGGGCAGGGCGGTGCATCTAATGACGGTCCACCAACGACGCCTACTCAACAGCGACATGTGAGCGCAAGTGAGCGGAATGGCAAGCGTTATCGAAATGTAGCCCCCGTGTTCAGCATTGATGATGAGAATGAAGATGCGTACGATGGAGGCGAGCGCGACACACCGCTGACATCGTCCGGCGAGAGCAAGGAAATTGTCAATCTAAATCAATATTTCAAGACAGCGGACATTATCAATGCCTTTAAGTGCCAGGAGGTGCACATGAATGGCTATATGTATGACAGCCATCTAATCATCACGCCCAGTCATTTGGTGGTATTGCGCGAATTGGGACGTGGCCAAGCGCAAATTATGGTACGACGTCCTCTGGCAAGCATAGTGAAAATCACAGCCAAGAAGCGACATCGTGATCTGATTACCTTCAAGTATGGTTGTCCAGATGGTGATGGCCTCCTCATCACCGATATGGATCGTTTTCTCATACCAAACGCCACAGAGGCCACAGCGTTGGTCTCCAAGCACATTGTCCAGGTGCTGGACAATGCCAAGTAGTAGACAGCGTAGGAGTACGTTGAACATTTATGCTTTTCTGTTTTTTCTACATGAGCTTTATTTTTCCCAAAAAGTGCAATGCGCGCGGTCTCTGCCTGCGGCACAGGCGCGCAATAGATTTAAAAATTGGCAATGTTTTCCTTGTAGTAGTGGAATGGAAGTGTGTAGTTTTATTTGAAATGATACCGAAATGAAATGTGAATTCTTTATATTTATGCAATTGTATTATATGACACACACATACAAACACCATCCAACCGTATAGTTATACTGGATTCATGCTAATGCTAAAATTCGAAGTAAACAAAGAGAAAGAACAGTAGCCTTGAGACTTACAATATGTAAATGATGTGTAAAACTAAACTAACTAATATTTATTGCGAATGAAAATAACAAAAATATTAAATAAAAAATGTATGATAATCAAAACATAGTTTGTTTCCTTCAATTGATATATGTAACGAGCCCGGCACTGGATAAAAGATCGTTACTCCAACTCTGCTTTCTTTTTCAGACTGTTTCTGATTCTAATTTTCTTACCACATACATTCTTAATCGTCATTTTTTTAACACACATTCTTAATCGGCATTAATCATATTCACAAGCACCTCAGACAGCAATGATTAAAACTTGTTTTCGATTTTCTCATGTACTTGCAAGCTGCTTGAAAGTTCTTATATTTCAGGGAAAGGTGTAACGAATTGGTTGAGAAGGGTACAATAAGAGTTAAAAGCAATAAAATAAAGTGACAATTTTTTAATATATTTTAAGTAATTGCTAAAGAAACAACAATATACAATGGCAAAACGAGAATGCAGAACAATTGTACATGCTTTCCCTTTAAAACTATGCCCCATAAACAAATGTTACATTTTAGGTTTTTTCACAAAACTTATTTTCAAATATTACATTTCTCTGATTCGAGAAAATTCGAATGAACCGAAATTAATACAAAAACTTAGTTGTAATAATGATCAAAACTCACAGCATTGATATGTTGTAGTCAAGCGGATTTTGCATTATAAAACAAGATAAGAAAAGAATGCTAAAGTAGAGCAAGCTCAACTATTAAATACCCTGTACCTCCCACCAAAAAGAAAAAAATGAAAAAAAAATTTTTTTTAATATTTAAAAAAAAGTATATTAATTAAATTAAAGATATGTTTATGTACAGTTTCAACAGCATAAATTTACATCAGAGTCGTGTCTCTGCGTGCCATAAGTTGAACCCAAGCAGCAACAACAACAACAGCTGCAGGCAGCGCTGCCGGCAGCGCTACAAGCAGAGCATGGACAGCGATTTTATTTATGGCTATAACTTTCTTCAGAATTGACCTATCATATTGAAACTTGGCATACAGACATACAAAATTAGTTCGAAATTCCAAGAACTACAGGAGTTATGAAAAAAACACGAATTGCGGGGGAGTGGGGGGGTGAGAATAAAAAAATAAACTTGACCTGCCTAGGGCTTATGGGAATCTGGATACCGAGTTTGGTTATTCTAGCTCTTGTACCTTCTGAGATCCTTGCGCTCATACAGACGGACGGACAGACGAGAGTGGAGGGGTGTATCAGAATAAAAAAATAAACTTGACCTGCCTAGGACTTATGGGAATCTGGATACCGAGTTTGGTTATTCTAGCTCTTGTGCCTTCTGAGATCCTTGCGCTCATACAGACGGACGGACAGACGGACGGACATGGCTATATCGACTCGGCTTGTCACCCTGATCAAGAATATATACACTTTGTGGGGTCTGCCACGCCTCCTTCTGTGTGTTACATACATTCGCACAAAACTAGTATAGCCTTTCACCCTTTGGGTACAGGCTATAATGATAAATATTTGTGAAATTTGCAGACATGTTAATTTAAAATATAAATCAAATTTTTAAATTTTTAATTCAAAAGGAAAAAATTATGAACTGGATAAGGATGGGTGAGAAACTCAGAGATGACAGGAATTGCAGTAATGTTTGTGTTTTTGTTAATTATTCAATTATTATTTTTATTCATTTGTACGAGAGGCAACAGTTTTTTAAAGAAATCTTGAATTTAGCGAACATGTAAATTTTTTTAAATACATATATGAATCGATTCCGCCTACTTTCTCCTTGCAATTCCTTCTAATGCGAACTGTTTTAAATTTTTGAATGCAGCTTCTTTAATTTGTATTTTAATTGTAATAAAATATGTAAAATAATTGAATACTTTAGCAACTGTTATACTTAACAGACCGCTGTTAGCATTAACAGCGCTGCCTTGCAGGAACCGCGCATGCGTTCGACCAGGCCCGTCATCTACGTAAGCAGCTACGCCTGTCGCTGATTCGTTGGCTCGGGCCGCAATTCTTATCAATGACAATGACGTAGGTTGTGTGCAGACGCGTCGCTACCGCGAATGGCGCTGCAAAGCAATTGAGGCCAATACATTACAAAACTGTTGCACTGCAGCGTCAAGACAACAGTTCATTCAGAACAGTTGCCGCGCACAGACAGCGATAGCGATAGCGACAGTGACTGGAGCAGCATTGAAGAGAAGCTGGACAGCAGCAGCAGTAGCAGCAGGCAACAGTGGGCCGCCCCCGTACATTGTTGAACATAATCCAGTAATTAGGACACACACTTACACTCACACTACACACAGAGAAACCCACACATAGTGCGATTCGTTGGTTGGTTGAGTTGTCAAGTGCGAAGTAGTGGCTATTGAAAGTGCAGAAAGGTCCTTGCGCACAATGCAGTTCGTGTGCGGTAATAGCCGGAGCATGCTCCTGGCCGTACTCCTGCCTTCCTTGCTGGCACTTACTCTGGTGGCTGCGGTGCCAGCCTCTGTCTTAGCCCAGAATACCGAGCTCTCGACGCAGCAGCAGCAACAGCAACAGCATGAGGATCAAGCAGCAGGTGAGCCATTAAAGTTCAATTTTTTCTAAGTGCAATGCTTGTCGAGCCAGTGGCTGGTATTGGTATTGGGGCCAACCAACACAGATGTGCCTCCGGTTGCGGCTAGAAGGGTGGGTGTGGGAGCGACTGCGAGTGCCAACCTACGCAAAATTGGGCGGGCAGGGCTGATGACGCCCACTTAAAGAGCTTGGCGGTGCGCAGTAATGCCAAAGGTCACTGAAAATTTCATGTATGGGAAATGGACAAAGTTTAGACTGCGAAACCGAAATTAAGCGAACCGGGAAGTAACTGAAGTCGCAAGTACAGTAGGTGATATGGAAGTGTGGAGAACTTAGCAATACATTATTTGATATATACTTTTATTATAACAGAAAGTACAAACAATACTTAATCTTTTCATGAAATAAAATACACTGAAAAGTACCAAAACCTGGTACTCAAATATTGTACATAAACTAATGCAATTTATAAATCAATATATTACTGTTAATAATATTTATTAGTATTTTAAATTTGATTGTTTTAGAAACTTGTATTACTTTAATATTGTCGCTTTTAATATTATTCGAATTTTTTTTATTTTATATGTTAACTATGAGAATGAGAACTAGATCTATTAATTAATCTAATCTAATCTATTAATTATTTGATGATAATTTCTGTGGTAGTAGTGTAAAAAGTAACTAAGCCTGAACTTCAGAAAAAGAGAAAGCGAGACAATTAATGGAGACTTAATCTTTTATTTAAGTTACGATATAATTTTTTTATTACTACCTTACGAGGCCTCGCATAGCTCTACAAACTAGCAGAAACCCCATAATGTGAGTTGGTTCCCAGATAAATCAGACTCTCTGGGTTCGAACCACGTCACAATCCAATCATCGTCGCAGAACTTACGCAGTTCGCATAAAATTTAACAACTGGTCCGTCCAACCCAGGACAAATCTTAAATAAAGAGTATAAATAAAAAATAAAAAAATTACTCTTACTACTATTATATATGACTATTATTATTTTAAATTGTTATTCTCGTCAATTTATTTGATTTATATGTCAATAAGTAATATTATTAATCTTTTTTTTGCAAAAATGATTATTCTTATTGCTATTAATTTAGCCTTATTTATTTTTTTTTGATCTGTTAAACAAAGTAAGACTTTTGTGGCTTAACCATTTACCGTCAACTTTTTAAGCCAATTTCTAAAATAATTTTACAAGAAGTGCTTATTGGAGCAGATGTCAGATTATTATAGGTCCTCGCTTTTGTAAATAACAAAATACTGTGTTTCAAAATGTTCATTAATTGGTTCAACAGCTATCTTTAATGTTTGAGTGAATGTGTTTTATAAATTCCGTATTAGTACCAATTACGAGTAGCATTTGTAATCGCAGTTTTCTATTGAAACGGAATCCTTCTCCCTGATTTCTACTGTTTTTGCATACACTACGCATACGCCTCCGGCATTGTGTAAAACAAGTAAAGTGCCACATAAAAGACGAGCCTTATACCAAAAAATAAAAGAAAGAAGAAAAAAGAGAGCGAGAGAGGGAGGCCAAAGTATCTGCGTACATACATATATAGTACTCTTATATGAAGGCACGGGCATGTATGTACGCGCGTGTATGTGTGTGTGTGTGTGTCTTGTTGTTGTTGAATATTTGCTTGCTTGTAAGTTCAACATATTAAATGTACGCCCACGCGCTTTTTCTAATGCACACACACACACACACACACACACACACACACACATACCATCAGTTGTTGTTGTTGTTGCTGTTCAAGTTTGTTGCCTTGAACAGCCGTTCGTCTGTACGCCCGCACCCTACGCTCCATCTTGCACGCCTTGTCCCATTTCCCGTTCAACTTAGGCAGGCGCTTTGTGCAGGAAATCGCGTAGGTGTGCTCAGAACAGCTCGACAGCTGGCAATGGCTGGATCAGCCCGGTTGACGGGTGGCCAGGACGGACAGGGCGGACAGGGCGGACAGGGTGTGGTGGATGACAGGGACATTTCCATGAATTTCGACAACTCATTGGTGTGTTGCCGTTGTTTCTGCGGGTAGTGATGTTTTTGCATTCCAAACACTGGCTTAGTTTATCATTCCTCATCCAGCTTTGCGTCTCTGCCTCCGACGATGATGATGATGACGATGATGATGACGATGATGTTGATAATGAAATAAACACCTACGCCAAATGGCGTGTGCATTGAGGGGAGGTGGGAGATAGGAGATAGGAAGCGAGCAGCGTGGGCGGCTGCTGCACAAAATGGCTGACACCCCGCTCTATGTGTGTGTGTGTGTATATGTGTGTGTGTGTGTGTGTCTGTACGTGCGCGCATTTTCGTGTCTATTTTTAGACATCGAGTTGAACAAAGTTTTCTGCTGTTTGCTTTATGCTGGCGCCGCCTGCTGGCTCCATCACCCAATGCCAACAGGCTGTGGAGTGGCCCACCCACCTTATTATTTAATGCTTTGCACAATCTGTTTGCGCAAAAGCCACTTGCCACAACAACTTTTCTCTAGTGTCGTTTCGTAGTAGTAGTATTTGCTTTATACCCCCACAAGTAGGCAACACTTTTTTATTTTTTTCGTCGTCACCAATTTCCAGGAATTCTAGCATATTTGGCATGCTTTGAACATTAATTCCTGTAAGGATGGGTAAAGAATGCAAATGAAGGATTAGGCAACAAAGAATTGAATTAAACTTATGTATTTTCGCTTGAGAGCACTTCTGCAAAAATAACTTTTAACTGAAAGAAAGTATGAGTCGTCTAATTCATATTTCACTTACTCGTATGTACAAGTATTTGCTGCTCGAAATTTAAATGTAATGATGGCAGCCAATCAAAATGTCAAATGCAGCCAGCAAGACTGAAAGAGAACAAAATTTATTGAACTGACAGCATATCAGTATATATGTACATACATATATACTATACATATACTATGTATATACTTGTAGTATGAAAATATTATTACTCAGTAACAACGGCAGCGAAAGGTGAAATTGAAAGTAAAGACACATTAAATATTTATAAAAGCCAGTGCCTGGATTGAATTGTAAGTACGAGTACGTACATTATGTGTGTGTATGTGTGTGTGTATTTATGGGCCTTGGCATATGCCAACGATGCGCTTGACTGGCATTGAACGGCTCACTCTATAAAATATTCAAAATGCTCTGCAGGAGCAACAACAACAACAGCCTCAGCCCGCCATTTAATTTAAATCAAGTCTGCTAACCGCAAACTTCTATTTAAATGCGCCTAAGGCTGTCAAACTGTACCGTCGCGACGGCCCCTGCCTCAGCTTGGATAACAACAGCTGTGGACCAACTTTTCCCCATTCGCCATTATACAGAAAATTTTTCCATATGCTGCTTGTTTATTGAGTTATTTTCCTTTGGTGAGGCAGCCAGCCCCAAAGGCAATGTTTGTACTTAGCCAGAGCGTTAATTGTTGTTGCTTGTAAAAGCAAATGCTGACAGTAGCTCCCCTCCCGCTCCTCCCCCTCCTCCGACTCCTCCCCATCCAACACTCTCGACTACTCGACTACTGTCTGCAATCTCTACTGCTAATGCGTGAGCGTGTGTGGCTGCATGGCTGTGTGTGGCAAAAATTGAAGAGCAAACAACTTGTTGATATTTTTACAGTTCAGTGAATATTTTCCATGTTAGTGCAATTACAATAATAACAACAACAATAGCAACAAGCACCACGCAACATGAACAGTGACAGGAATATGGACGCTGATGACTACATTGACGCGAACGACGTCAGCAAACCTATCCACATACATATAGTATATACTGTACGTGTATGTATGTATGTATTCGCTTAAATATGTATCTATTCAGCAGCTTGTCTCCTCATGCGCGTCCTGGTTTTGCGAAATTCATAGACTGGTTGGAGCATATGTATCTTCAAGGCTAGAGCAAACATATGGCCCTGTTTTATAGCCGGTTCTATAGTGTTTAGTTGTGTGCTGTTTTGTGCGTAATCTATCTGTGGACAATTCGACATTACTAATGTGCCCCCACAAAAGTATTCGCACAAACCAAGGGGTCCATGCTTCAAACACTACTGCTTTGGAGGGAGCACAAACGTGTTTGCAGTTCAATTGCCAAAGAAATTGGCAATATTAAACAAAATAAATGGTTGATCCTAAGTAACATTTTAAAACTTTGGAATATAGTTTTTTTAAATTCCAATAATATGCAAAATAATTGAATAAACACTGGTTTTTTGCATTAATATTTTAGCTCGAATTTGCTACTCGAATTCTTACGGGCTAATATTTTTTATCTTTTAGAATTAGTTTGTTTAAAATTGATTTCCCATTACTTTGCCGAAGCTTATTAAAGAATTTATTTGCATCCGATAATATCATAAACGTGTTCTTTCTTTCGGACTTTGGAGAACAAGTTTGGTGACTCTTGCTCTTATTTTTGTGGCCATACAGACAGACGAACCACCGAACAAGTCTAGAACAACTCGACTTGAACTGAAATTAGATAAATGTACATAGTATGTGTATACTTTCTTAGGTCCACCACTCCTCCTTCTGAGTGATACAGAAATTAAACTAATACTTACTTCTTAGTCGGAAAATGTTCTATTAAATGTATGTAACCTTCACTTTTCCGATTATTTCGATTAATCAATTGTTTTAAAAAATAGTAAATTAGCTAGTGCCTTCAACATACTTGAATGACCTTTTTTTTAAATATGAGACTTTTAAATGTGTATTTTGATTGACAAATATTATTGATTTGTATAATATACATACATGATTGAATATTAATTACAAATGTTAAATATCAAGAACGAAAACGGTAATTGATTTAATACCCTTTTTATATTTATGATGAAAGCTACACTATACGAGTGCGTTTCTCGAATAACTAAAGAATTAACTTGTTTTGTTTTTTTTTTGAAAAGAATTGCTTTAACAAGTATGCACTAATTGTTATCTCAAATACAAATACTTTCGCCATATAGTGTGAGGTGTTGTTCATTCCATTTACACATTTTCGTGTGTCCGGTTTTATCTGGAACAAATGAACGATAAGCTTATCAATCTCTAATAAAAAAATCCCACCTAGCAAAACAGAATTAGCATGTTCGTCGTGCAGGCTCTTTTTGGTCACAAATCGTACTTATATTTGAAAACCAGTTTGTGGGAGCACGAGCATGCACCGAATAGACTTTTCGTAGATCATGTGACGAACATGCCCCTTTTTTAGCCGAGCATGAAGCCCAAACATGATCATTCAATAATCAAAGCCACACTTGACCGTGACGTTATAAATGCATTTAATTGGTTGTCACACAAAGTGTGGACTAATGATTAATTCCTGACACTCCCGAGTCTTAATTAAATAAAAGGAAAACTGGAAAAGTGGTTATTTAAATTAATTAGTATGTGCAACGCTCCGTAAACGCATTGCAGGTAGGAGGGCTGCTAAATACGATTATGCGTAATAATGTAAAAGGATGATGCTGGCGATAACGGGCGAATGGCGCCAGCGAAATAGCTCCTAAATGTCAGGAGCAACGATGCCAACGGGATAATGCCTGAGTGCCTGATTGCCTGACTAAATGGGTGACTGACTGCCGGGCTGCCAGGCTAGTGGGTTGCACTTGACTATTAGTTGGAATTACATAAACAAGTCTTTGACAGCGCTAATTGCAATTAGCAACAGCTATAGACCATCGAAGATGGGTGATTGTGATGGGTGTATAAAACAATTATGAGACTCGCTGCCTGCTGCCTGCTGCTAATTGGTTTTGTCGTTTGCGAATGGTGTGGGGATATGGTGCCCTGTGTGTGTATATGTGGGTGCGGGTGTGGTTGTGCCTTGGCCCCACTTTATTGAATCAAAACTGTTAAGTTGCAAAAGGAAAAAACGAAGCAACAAACTTCCCATAAATAATTACATTTCTGAGCTCGGAAAATGTGCTTAATTCAAAAAAGAAAATTCCAAGAGGGGCCAAAAAATCGAATTAAATACATTAATTAAAAATGGAAAACATTGCTTTCTCAATATTGCGGATACTTATAGTATATTGCATGATTTTTATACCCATTTATAATTTGGAAGAAATACAAAATAATAATGTAAATAAATAACTATTTTCAAAAAAAACACGTTTTTTTGGAGGATGAATGAAGAATATATATATTTTCTTGTACGAATACAGAAGAAAAGTTTTAATAATTATTTCATAAAAAGTTTTCTTGAAATACCGCATTTGGTGCTAAAATCTATAATTAACACATTTATAAATTTTGACAACTCATTTGACTGATAACTACTTGTACAATTTTGTTGGTTTTGAATACATAGCAACAAAACGTTATCCTCAAGGTTGTTTTTCTTTAAATTGTTTTAGCGTTTTCAGTAAAAGTTATTTTTAAAAATATGGCCTTGGGTACAAATGACTTGTTTAAAAAAAAAGAAATCCCTTAAAATTTGGTTACATTCTCGAATGGACAAGTATTGTAAATGTATTGCAAATGTATTTGCACATTTACACGATTTTTTAAACAATTTTTCAATGTGTATATGCAAAATTTTATTATTATTAAACTAATATACTACTACTGTCAAATAAGTAGTAGAAGCTTAATGCTGTTGTATATTAATTATTCTGTAGGCACTTTAGTATTTTCAAACAAAATAATGGGATACGAGTATTTATGTAATAATGAAAGGGATGGTACTTAAAATTTTTTAACACTTTATTTATTTTCTTAAATGTATTTGTGCAGAAAATCAAGACTGTGTCTATATAGAAGAGAAAAAAGATCATAATAAGAAATAATTTCCAGATTTATCAAGAAACTGACTCTAAATTCAATGTGGGCATAATTTTTTATCGACCAGCAAAGTTTACTAAACACTATTGCAAATTTATGGACAATATGGGAAACACAAAATTTCCAATGAAGAGGACCTTAAAGTGGCACCAAAGACTGAATAATGGAATATTACAGCAGCAATATCAAAAATTGGTAGTATCAATGGAAAAGGTTTTCTGTCATATAAAATATGAAAAAGAGGAAATGATTATAAAAACGAATGATTTCCCCATCACGGCTTTCATATGAAATTTAAAGAAGAAGAAATTATTATAGAAACGATTGATTCCCACATCACAACTTATACACCTAATTCTGTTTTTACACGGTAGATTGGTTCCAGAAAAAGTCATGTAAAAAAATCGTGTTAAAAAAGACATTGATCATATTTAATTTTCAAACCGTGTTAAATCAAAACCGTGTAAAAAGAAATACCGTGTAGAAACAGAATTAGGTGTACGTAGCTGCAGAAGCTCAGCTCTGACCTGAAAATATACAGTGTCTTTTCTGTTTAAAGTATTTACTAATCATGTATTGCTAATGAATGAAAAGCCATGTTATACTAGAGGCTGTGCCGTTTCAAATACTAGCAATATTTTCATTTATATCGTAATGGTGTCGTTGTGACGGCGAGAATATGTAATTTTAATACACATATAGACACTTGTGTAATATGAAATAGAAATGTATCGAACGCCCCTAAGTGCGCACAATGGAAAATTTTCAATTTCGAAACCATTTATGTTTGTGCAGAGAAAAAAGCCGAGGACGCTACAGTTCCACCGGCAGACAAGAAATCAAGTCCGGAAATTGTGCCCGCTTCCTTCAGCAATGCGCCACCAGCGAAGAGCCTGGCCAAGAACAACCACAACAACAACCAGCAGCAGCGCCAGCCAGTGCCCGAGCAACAACAAGCGGGCATTTATGCTTTGCCCACAAACGAAGAGATTTTGGCAGCGGTCGCATCTGCCGCCCAAAACAACCAGTTCCAGGAAGAGGCTTCTGCAGCGGCAGCGGCAGCGGCAGCAGAGGATGTCGGCAGCACTACGCTGCGCAAAAGGGGCGTCAACTACGACTATAATCCTTATGCGGCTAACGACTACGGTCCCTATAGCGCTCCTGGCTATGGTAGCAATGTGCCCAATGGCGTTTGGGCCAACGACTACGAGCCAACTGCTACTTACAACGAGAACGACCTGCAGGATCTGGATGACTATGTGCCAGAGCGACATGGTAAGTGCAGCAATTCCCTTCCAAAGATCCACAGCAAAAGACTTCTTCACTCCACTTTCCGGTACAGTGAGTAATGGTAATGGGCGCAACAAGGCTTACGACAATCTGCAGAATCTGCTCAATGCCGAGGCCTATCTAGAGAGCATTCCATTGTCGGTGCCTCTGCAGTACGCCAATCGCAACTACGGACTGGCCGATGACCGAAACAAGCGCGGCATTTATTACAACATGGACAACGCGGGCGAGAATTTGAATAAATTTCGACGCTATGGTGACCTACGGTAAGTGGCTAGGAAGTCCCCACTGTGACAAGAATAGGGAAGGGTAGAAACAAAAGAACAACAAACTTTGAGTAGGGAGTGAGGAAGCGGAAGGAGGGAAGGAGAGTAGGGAGTAAAGGATATGTAAGCGTTAGACCCGCTCGACTGTGGCATTCCATTCTTGTTTACAGTGAAAACTCCCTTGGCTGGACACGGGGAAAGATCTAGAAAAAATGTCCGCCTAAGAAAGAACTAAAAGACATGTCCATTAAGAAAGTTTTTACTGTATTTCTCTTTTTCCATTACTGTAACGTTCCTTTCAAGCTTTAGGGGTTCTAAGAATAATAATCAATACACAGTAACAGATATTTTTTCAATATCTTGTCTTCAATTTAATTAATTGGATTGTTACTCTCAAGTCCTTGGAGCTCATGTGAATTTATTGATATTATTTTCTACGGACAAATGGAAAACACTTCTTCTCAATCAAGAGGGGATTCAAGCAATCTCTACTCCAATTTACTCGCAAATTCTGCTAAAATAAGAGGAAAAGCATGAATTAAACTGAAACGGATAAAGACAGGATTTAGGGAAAATGCGATAGCAAATGGTTTAACAATTCTTACACTATGCAGTATGCAAATTGTATAATTTTGTAAATTCTTGACCAATGTGCAGAGCCTGTGGTCTCCGGGGGCCTGAGCAATTAACGCCAACGCACTTTTTGCGGCTTTATTAGACCCGAGCGGCCATAAATCGTATTGTAATCAACTAAGTGGTACGAATTGCATTACTTTCAGGCTAAAGCGGGACACCACCAAGCTGACACCAGCCGATATGTTGGCACTGGTGGCACTAGTCGAGGCGGGTGAGCGGGCGAGGAAGGAGACCGATGCGGACAATGCGGCTGCAGTGGGCGCTGCGGAGCCATACGGGCCCAAGACCTACGAGAACGAGGATCTGGACTATGTAGGCAATGTTGGAGTGCCGCCAGGCAATTGGCTCGATGCACCTGCCTTGGTGGACTACTATGGCATGCCCGTGAATGTGGAGACGATGCCCAAATATGAGTATTTGCCGCGTCAGCACAAGTACGGCAATGGCATTAATCGTGAGTATTGAGTTGAGACGTCTGAAACATGGGGTGGAATTAATGGTCTGGCAATCGTGCAGGGTTTGGATCCTCCAAGCGTTACATGGTGAAGAAGAAGCGTTCGATAAGCCCATTGATGAACGAGCCTATGGCTGATCGTGGATCCAGCTACAATGGTGAAAAGTATTATTAAGCCCAGCATTGCGACGGCAGCTCTGCGACATTTTTGAAACATTCTCATGGGCTTGAAGCTTAAATAAAGTTGCCATGCTTATTATAAATAACCACCACACCATACGGAGCCCCCGAAAAGTTTTGATTTCCGTGCTATTAGTTTCGTTATTGATTATAAGGATAAAAGCAAATCAATTAATCAACCAATCATGTGCAATTTATGCGTAGAACTTGAATTTTGAAATCTTAAACGAAAACCAATTCCAAAAATTTAAATATTGTTATATACAAATATGATAACATATGTCTAAGCATACCTATTATGATGTATATTGTATGTACTTATTTTATGTCGAAACATAATCAAAAGTCAATGTTTCTAAAACACTGGACAGGGTTTTGCGATTTTGTAAAAAACAACTGGCACCCCAACCACCAACCAACCCATCATAATCTCACGAATTCAATATACAACGTGAACAACCTACACTATCAGTAAATACCTATATAATAATAATAATAATAATAATACCTACATATACTATATATGTAAAACTAGAGGCTTCCCGAGTAGTACAAAACAAAACAAAAGAAACTAATTGAAAGAAAAAAGTGGAAAAACTTAAAGAATCATAAGGTAACTAACTAATGCGATAATTCAACCGAGCTCAGTTCACGCTGGAACTACAAACACGAGAAATGTCTGCTATTTTGCTTTAATTTTTAAAACAATCGGAACTAAAAACACTGTGCAGCAGAGCAAGCAACAACTTTTATATAGTCATGCGCCGATTCGAGAATATTTGATGACGCCTATTTTAAATGCTATATATAAACGTAAACACAAATATCTACTTATACTACATACTTGCATATACATATATGTATGTGTATCTGCAGCAACATTAAATAATATACTACATTATAATGAATATAAATAAATGAATATATGTATGTATACAATACTATATATGCGACTATTTGTCAAGAACAAGTGGCTCAGCGCATAAATATTTTAAATATTCTATCGCGCATCATACAAATTAATCAAGAGGACGGACGGAGGAAATTTATTTGAATGAAAATTGTCTGACTGTTTTTTGGAAAAAATAAAATTTATTAATTATTTAATTTACTAAGAATATAAATATACATATACAAATACATACATACAAACATACTTATACTAAAACGAAAGCGTTTAACAAACATATATAGATAAATAGCGGATATGTGCGATTATATGTGTGTATACAAAGTAAATATATAAACACTGGTATAACTATACAATTTTGACATACTACAAGTATATTTTGTATTCCTTTCGACACGTCTACTTTAAACTGTCTCTAATTTATGGCATTTAGGTTTTTATATATGCTATTATTAATTTGAAATACAGCCATTAACATTTCTAAGTTGATTTACAATTCAATAAATATGTCTTTGGTTTGAAAAACAACAATTATTTGCCTTTTTCTTAGCCCAATCTAATATTTTGAAAAAAAGCCCCTATTTTTGTGGAATAACAGACTTGCTGCTGTTACAAAGCAATGCTTAACAGCTCGATAACATTGCACTGTTAAGAGGCCTAGCAGTGACGAGAAAATGTTTGCTAACAGCATATGTTAACAGCTGTGCAAACATCGAACGAATCCGTTTTATTCAAAACTAGTACTGTTGGCATTTTACTCTATTAAAGAAATAGAAACAGCTAACATTTAAAGAGGCTACCTATGTATGTACATATGTAGGTACCCGGAAGGAGCCGTAACTGACCCCCTAGCATGACAAGATGAGTCATAAGTTGATAAACACAACATTACCTAACTTGGTATTGAAGTTGTTCTAGGTGCGAGAAGGGACACGATTTTTCCATCCATGCACGCCCTCCGCTACTAATAATTATATAAAATTTTACAATTGCATCTTGGAAGTGCTTATTTGCCGTATTGTTAAGTTTTAGTTTAGTCATAAATGTAATCTCTGCCCGTGCAGCGTCAGCAGCGTTATTGTTGTTGATACTTTAGTTCAAATCTGTAGAGCTTGTTACAACACTGTGAAACTTGTACTTTAGCGTTGATGTTGCTGTTACTTTAGTTCGAATATGTTCACCTTGGTACAAATCTGTACAGCTCTGTACAAGCTCTGTACAAGCTGTGTACAAGTTCTGTACTGCAAATACAGGCACACAATAGAACTCGATGAACATTTGTGGAACTAAAAAAGTATACTAATAAATGTATTTATTTTATTCTTTTTTTTAATTTTAATTTTTGAATGTGATTTTCTAATATGTAAGGGAATTATTTGCCAAACCCAAGCAGCGTAAATATTTCTAAATACAACTTCGTTGTATATGAATTACCCTTGCTCCTATTTATGTTTACAAATTTCTACCGATTTTGCTTCAATCACAAAGGTGAAATGTGTTTACACATGAAATCGAATAGTTTTTCAAATCTCTAAGCAAATGAAATCTGATCTGAGAAACCCAATTCAAAATTCCCTTTATTTTTAATTTAAAGGTTTTTCCAATTTAATAAAGCGCGACTTTTTGAACCATAACATTGAAATTCACGGCATTGAAATGTTGCAGAACAGTAGATATTAAGAAGCAAAGGCGTTTATATACATATCTCTCTCTACAAGTATACATATGTATATATATATACTTGTATGTTGTTTGTGGTTTAATTTTTATTGTAGACGCGCTACAATTGAAAAGACGCAATTTGATGGCTGACGACAATACCAATTCTTAAGGGGATGGTTTACGTATCCAAGAGCTGGAACAATTGGCGCAGCAACAACAACTATTCATCCATCCCACAAATTTGACAATAAAATTGTCATAAAAATTGGTGTGTACCAAACAAATGGTTTGCCGAAGAAAGTGAAATAAATAAAAACTGTGTGGCCATTAAATGGCAGCCAATTAAAAATTAAAGGAATCAAAATAAATAAAAACCGACATATAAATAGAGAGAGTAAGAGAGACATATTGAGAGCATAGTTTAATGCCCAACTGAATAAAATTGGTTATTTATTGAAAGAGTGACCAAAAATTCAATAAAAATCAATTGGCGCACGCGTAGGCTTGAAAAATCGAAACTAACAACTGACATCAAATTCTGTTGCTGGGAAGCTATACTCGTCCATATGTGTAGGATGGATCATTCATTGGTCACATGCATAGATGTAAATGTAATCTATTGTTGTTGGAAAAAAAGAGTGCATACAAAATAAAAGCGAAAAGGGTGCCTGCTTTATGCAAACTGCCTATAAGAACTATGCAAAATAATTAATGAGCAGAAATAAAAAAGTAAGGAAACACGATTAAATACAAATAAGAGAACCAGCAGCAGCCGGTAGACGGTCGAAAGAGTACGTATGGATGGCCATATATTTTTACAGGCGACTGCGGAGGCACTGAAGCCAGACGAGTCCGTAGAGGCCCCTTTGCATTTGCATATATCACCATCAAATCCCCTGTATACTTCGACCTGGAAAACTGAACAAATCGTATGCAAACTGCCAGTCGGCCGGCATCGCGCTGGATTTTATGGCAGAAAGCTGGACAATGTTTACGTATTGTTTAAGCAAAAATCAGGGACGTTGCGCGGGTTTTGGGCGCCAGTCACTTGTGGGCAATTAATTTACTTTCCATTTTTTTATTTTATTAATTGCTAAGCCAGCTAACTTTCTGACCTGTACACAAATGGTGAAGAGGATATATTAGGCTTCCGCTAATATATGTAAGAGACGAAAGGAAGGATCTACGATGCCATAAAATATATACAATACATATATGTATGCATGTTCGTGATCAGCAGACTGATTGATTGATGAAAACTCGTGCCATTCCATCTATCTTTTGGTCTAGACATTTTTTAAAAGACTGGTTCCTAGGTTTATTTAGTAAACAAGTATATTTATATTTTTTATCTATTAAATTTAGAGTGCACAATATAGTGGAGCACTATACTAATGTAATTCTTTCACCGATTGGTGCTAATTTGCAATAAGCGATCAACAGTTTTCGGGACTCATTCACAAAATGTCTGGGCTTGTCTTCTAATCCAACAATCTAACGATATCTTGTTGATTGTTTTTCGTTCCACTCATTAATCTAATTATCTTAATGAGTTTATTATCGATTTTTGAAGGTTCTAGAATCTAGATTGTGTCTCATGTTCAGCAATATTTCATATATAGTATTCGTATACTTCGATTAAGAACTCTGCCAATAACCTTCTCCATATTGTGTTCATTAATTCAACAGTCAACAAATAATCTTGGACATTACAGATGAAAGCATGGTGGAATTTTAAAAACAGTTGTTTTAAAAAGTGAAATGTAATTTCATTAATATTCAGAAATTATAAATAAAATGTTCCACTCATCTTAAGTTATACTTAAATGCCAAGTTACAAATAAAACCGTTTGCTAATTATTTTTACACACGCAGCGTTTGTGTAATTAGAACAAATAAAATTAGTAAATTGTGAAATGGCTTAACCAAATGATAGCAAATAAACGCGTAAGGCGAATTAGCAAAAAAAATTAAAAATATGAAACCACTTTTGGAAACATGTCTACAATTTTGACAGTCTATGGGATAGGTATTTTGTTTTGGTGCCTCGTTTATACTAATTTTATGCACGCGCTTTGCATATTAAGCAACTATTATATCGGTACATATTTATTTACAAATACATACTATATTGTATGACTGTGTTTGTATTCAGCGGCGACAGCTGAAAATGGAATCGGAATTGGGAATTTTGTACGCCTCTTTGGTAATAAGGCCTTTGTTGTGCAATTCAGACGCGAGCGCTAACTAATATCTTGTGCGAGTATTCAACAAAGCGGTGAGCAAATAAAACCGATTAATACTTGTATGCCCAAGAAAGTTATTTACCTAGTGGGTTAGCCAAGACAAGAACCGAAGGGTCTTATTATGTTGCTGTTAGATGCCATCAATTCGAAAACGTGTGACGTTGCAATCCACACGGAATTTATGAAATACTGACGTGCACGTACGACAAATTCGAGTACAGAGTACGTTCTTCGTTGAAATGAACGAAGGCGTCTTGTCATATCGGTTTGGGTCCCCGAAACAAACTTGCCGATGCGAGATACACAAAAACATATCTACGCACTCCAGACCAGACCCCCAATAGCCAACGAGCCACAAGCCACACACCACATACCACCACCGAAAAAAACGACAAACGAATATTGAAAACCGGGTCGGGTCGCCGCCACACAAAACGAATGAGTGTTCCAGTGGTTGGCTTCAGTGAGCGAGCAACCGTGCCAGGCGTCACATCGTCAGTCAGTATCGTCAGCATCGTCAGTCAGTTAGTCGGCGGGCGGCGCAATTCAACGAGTTCTGTTTAAACATACGACAACTATTAAAGCCGCATATTGGCTCAGCTATTTGCCTAACAAAAATAATTGCCAATTCTTAATACAATATGTCGGAGGAAGTGCCCGCCAAGGGCAGCATATTGGGCAGTAAGTACAGATTGTGTGTATCCATCCATCCATCCATCCATCCATCCATCTATCCGATAGATACGCAGCCGTACACTTTTGCGCAATTTCACAAATGCAGTGCAATGGTGCATCATCATCCGCAGATTGCAACAAGTGTGAGTCAGCTAAAGACTGTGGCCTAAAAACTGCATAAGAACGCGTATTTGACCTTTGAAAGGTCGTACCACGCCGCTTGTGTGAATGTGTATGTGAGTGTGTGTGTGTGTGTGTGTGTGCCTTCGTGTGCGTGTATTAGGTCCGTATCCTTTATCTTCTTGTTTGAGGCAAAGGGATTTGTTGTTGTTGTTGTTGTTGTTGTTGGGGAGACCGCGCCCCCACCAAACCCCGCAGCTCTGTATCTAAAAATATAAATCGAAAAAGTATTGCTTGGAATTTGTATGCTTTTTTTGACTTTACTTTTCGGCCGGCAGGCCAAACATTTCTCTCGCCTGACAGCCTCATTCTCAAGGTCGTATAGAAGTCAGTTTTATGGGCAGCGTAGGACTTTGCGTAACGCAAGCATTTCACTCTTGAACTTTGCTTCAACCTCTTGAATACTCAGTACCCCCTTGGTACACATTGCCACCGAATAACCAATACCAATCCCAATCCCCCAAAACCATTTATTTATTGTCGAACTACCATATAAAACGCAAATACAACAAGATTAACCATTTGTTTGTGCCATATATATGGCTCGGCGAACATCGGAAACATGTCGAAAGCTGTTTAAAAACAATTTGTTGCGAGCGCGCGTAATCGAAGCGCCATAATCGTTGATAGCGAGTTGTGGGAAGTCATAGCAAAAAACAAAACAAAAAATAACATCAATTGTAATACTGGCGACATGGGGTGGGGGAGAACATTATAATTGCCAGCTTATAGTGTCGTCTGACTTCGAAATAATGAATATACATATAAATAGAAATTTGTTCATTTTGATTGTTCAAGGGAAAACCTAAAGTCCATAAACAGTTCATAATTTATTTCATAATTGGATTGGACAGGACCACACCATTTGTTTCTTAAGATCGTCATATTACACATCCTGGTGAATTAATGCGCGCTTTATAAAAATCTGCCCGATTAAATAGTGAATCTATAATACGAACCAATAATTTAGTTTTTCTGTTTTTATGAATATACAAATTATATGTATCCAAGAATATAGAATATCTCAAATATAAGTATACCAACTATACAAATATTGTAAAGAGAAAAGTTTGATAAAACCGATTTAAAGAATTCTTTTACTTTTGGAAATACCGGTTAACATAGGCTATATTATATTTGAGCAAAAAAAATAGGGATCCTTGCCAAAACTCTAATAATGTAAACCAAGGTGTAAAAACTCTATTCCTGAATGGATGCCGTTAGCTCAGATATAAATCGGAATACCAATCATGCTTTTGGGAAGTTTAGACCCTCCTAATCAGTGGTTATGAAAGTATTTTCCAGTCAGACCAAATGTTATAGCAGATATAGAGACCTGTCTGGCTATCCGTCCGCACGTACGAGCACCGGAAACTCTTGATTCGTTACAGCTCAGGGCATAATGCTTGGATTTGCGTTATTTATCCATCAAATAAAAAATATTTGTAAAACACTTTTTTTTTATAAAGATGAGTTTTTTATAAGACCACAATCTAAGCAGTTTTTGAAATAGGACCACTATTTTCCAATTGGAACGATCGTTGGAACAGAGCTTATTTCAGTTGAATGATTGCGGCGAAAATAGAATCGGACTTTAACGTTATACTAGCGTGTTTTTTTAGCCATGTTCCTCTCTACCAATTTCTACACATCGGGTCCAATAAAGCCACAAATTATGCGATTTGATATCTGGGTGGGGTCTTAATAGCCTCAGAGCTTAAGTGGATTGGGCATTCGAACAGCACGGGGCCATAAATTAGCGCAAGATATTGTCGCTGACCCTTCCCAACTGCCAAACTAATCAGCTGCTCGTGTACTCCACAGAACTCATGCCCGCACGCTATGTGCTCGCCCTACTCGGCTCAATCGGGATGGCCATTGTCTACGGCCTGAAGGTTAATCTCAGTGTGGCAATGGTGGCGATGCTTAACCACACGGCTATCCGCATTTCGGGATCCGGCGGTGACAATGATACCAAAAACGCCGCATCAGATGTGGAGGAGTGTTATCCACCAGGCGGAGCTTCCAATGTGACCGTAATAGTGGAGGTATGTTACTGCATCCGTTTATTGATTCATAATTTTTAAAGTAGCGCTACTAATTAGGATGGCCCCTTCAACTGGAGTACAACGCTACAGGGCACCCTGCTCAGCTGTTATTTCTGGGGCTATCTGGTCTCTCAAATTCCTCTGGCTCATGTGGCCGAGAACTTCTCAGCCAAGTGGGTCATGTTGTTTTCGGTGGCTATCAATGTGGTGTGCACGATTCTGACGCCCCCCTTAACCAAGCTGCACTATGGAGGTCTGATCCTTATGCGTGTGTTGGAGGGCGTTGGAGGTGGGGCATCATTTCCGGCTATGCACGTCATGATTGCCTCCTGGGCGCCGCCCACCGAACGCATGGTCATGTCCACAATCATCTACGTGGGCACGTCTGCTGGCACAGCGCTTTCTATTTTACTGGCCGGCGTTCTATCTGCCCAATGGGGCTGGGAGTCTGTCTTCTACGTCATGGGCGCCCTCAGCTGCATCTGGATGTTACTGTGGATAATTTTGGTTCAGGACAATCCCAATAAGCAGCGCTTCATCAGCGCCGAGGAACGTCAAATGATCACCAACTCTTTGGGCACAGAAGAAAAGGTGGAACACCATCCGAAGGTGCCATGGGGCAAGGTCTTCACCTCGGTGCCGTTCTGGGCCATTCTGATTGCCCACACGTGCAACAACTTTGGCTGGTACATGTTCCTCATCGAGATCCCATTCTACATGAAGCAGGTGCTTAAGTTCAATGTGGCCAGCAATGCAGCACTTAGTGCCCTGCCCTATTTCCCCATGATTATATTCAGTATTATCCTAGGCAAGGTGTTGGATACGTTGCAGGCAAAGGGTAAGGCATGATAATACCTCCTGGAAAGACATACATATACATATCTAACTTATGTATTCCAAAACACTAGGCAAGGTAACGACCACATGTGCTCGCAAGACCGCCACCTCGTTTTGCACCATCATTCCGGGTATTTGTCTACTCTGGCTGTGCTTCATTGGCTGCCGTCATTACGAGGCCGTGGCCATCATGTCTGTTGGCATTGTAGCCATGGGCGCCATGTTCTCCGGCTTTCTCTCCAACCACATTGATATTGCGCCGAACTTTGCTGGCACTCTGGTCGCTCTCACCAACACGGCGGCAACCGTGCCAGGCATTGTTGTGCCACTGTTTGTGGGCTTCGTGACAAAGGGAAACGTAAGTGTTGCATGGTTGGGAGTGATGGGAGGACAATCTATATTGAAACCGTTTATTTATTCGTTTATTCAGCAAAATATTGGAGCTTGGAGAATCATTTTCGGTGTGACGATCGCCCTATTCGTAATTGAGTTTCTCGCATTCATCATCTTTGGGTCCGGCGCCGAACAACCGTGGAATAAATCCGGGGAATCGAAGGTGGCGGTCAAAGATGAAAAAACACCGCTGAAGGAAACTCCAGCTAAGCCGTGAAGCGGAACCTCGATTTATGTTCGAACTCAATTAATTTAAATTTGTTTGAATGAAACAAATGAGCCTACAATTGTCACATTTGACTGTATATACCAATACACAACTACAAAGATATAGCTTTTAGTTTGCCGTAATGCTAAGTATCAGAACATCTTAATAATGGAGCTACCTCTGCAGCCACCGAACGAAACTCTATTTAAACCCCAATGTACTTAACAGACAACATTTAAAGGGTTATTTACAAATAAAACGCTACCTGTCTGTCATAGTAAACAAAATAATGAAGTTTGCACTTTCAAATCAAGTAATGGGATGAGTAGAATCTGATGAGGTTATTTTATGAAAGTACTGAAGTCAATACCTACTTGTCCCTTCACTGACATCCATATACTTGTAGTACTACTGAAAGAAAAGTGAAGGCAGATTATTCCAACAGAACGACCTTTAATTAATGTTGAATTGTACTGGTACGAAGCTCTATGCTAATATCATTTCAAAAGCATCAACCCGAACGGAGTAATATTAGTATTCGTGCAAGACACGAAATCTCCTTCGCTAAAGTCCTCGTAAAATGGTTTTTCAAAACATTCATCCAGCTCTCTAAAATCTTTAACTAAGCCAGGAAAAGAAACAATAATGAGGAGTTAATACGATAGACTTCTATGGTCACATATTTTCCCTTAATAAAGCCCATTATACAGTGAAAACTCTCTTGGCCGGACACTCACCGTCGACCAACTTTTGTCCGGCCAAGGAGAGTGTCCGGTTAAGAGGATACATTGAATTTTGTTTACCATTATTTGCTTAAAATAAATTGACTTTATTTAACATTAAAAATCAGTTATAATTTGTGTATTTGTGATTTCCATATAACAATCAAATATAACACTGAAGATGCAAATTCATTAAATAGCTTTACGTATTATATTTTTCCCTTAAAAACCAATGTTTGAGTACATGCTTGCTAGAAAACAGATATTCACTACTACTGCAAATTATTACGAAATAAACCATTCCTGAGCTAAATAACAACACATTTTAATTAATTTGCAATATTTGTTCACTACTATTATTTTCATCTTGCAAAACTGAGCATAACTCTGAAATAATTACATAAAAACAATAATATGTGCACAAATATGGAAGCTATAGGATATTTTATAAAAATATTGTAGTGGATCACATGGGTATACGTAGAAAGAAATAATTAGAAATAAAAAGAATATGATAAATACGGATGATCAAGCCTTATGAAGAGGATCACTACAAATATTTTGCATGCGTTTGAAACGTCTATTACCAAAAGGTACTTGTCCAGCCAAGACAGGTTTTCTTTCAAATATGATGTGTTTTTGCATGTCAACGTCCGTTAACACGAGGATCGCGCCCAGCCAAGAGAGGCTTTAGTTCGAATTTCTCGAAAAATAGTGTCCGCGTCCGGTCAAGAGAGTGTCCGCACAAGAGAGTTGAACTTTCTCTAAAAAGTACACCAAAACAAATGTTCTGAAAAAAGTGTCCGTCTAAGAGGGGTGTCCTGTTAAAAGAGGTGTCCGTTAAGGGAGTTTTCACTGTAGCAGTTTCCCACCAAAGACAACTGATGCGACTGATATGAACAAAGGCTCGACAAAATCACTTCCCAGCACATTACTGATCGATCAAATATTACAGTTGCGAAAAAATTGCTAGAAATATTGAAGTCGTCGCTTTTCGTATTCTTCAGTCATTTCGTATTCTTCAGACATCTTACGAAACCATCACACAACTTCTTTCAATGCGGCATCCGAATCCCTCCAGGATAATCTGAAAAGCTAGCAGGGAACGAAGGGTGATTCTTTTAATAATTGTATTGTTTAGTCCCATTTCATAAATCATTTGTAATTTGTACCTTTGTCTGTGAAGAAAGAGGCGCTCACTAATCGTCAATATCAAATCCGATCTGAAGATGAACGTTGCACTGGATCGTTCGATTATAGTTGTCCAAGACATGTTGTAGTTTAACAACCATTGTCCCCAGAGAAGTGCTCAAGTTTTGAAAAACGTGTATTATTGGACAGTACTTTAGCGATAAGCTGCGGAATGTCGTGATCTAATAATGGAGTGACATTTAATAAACAACAGAAAACACAAACTTTTGAAACATCCACACACTATTCACAAATTGAACTCAAATCGAATAATTATTTTGTGAATATTCCAAAATGGGAGATGTTCCCGCAAAGGGCAGCCTTTTGGGAAGTGAGTTGAAGATCAATGAAAACCGGGCAGGGTCCACATTAATGACATATTGGCTTCATCCGCAGACTGCTTTCCCGCACGGTACCAATTCGCAGTGCTGGGGTCTATCGCAATGGCAATTATTTACGGCTTAAAAGTGAACCTAAGCGTAACAATGGTGGCAATGCTTAATCACACGGCACTTGCTATTAGTCAAGCGAGCAACGAAACAGATCCGAAGGAGGATGAAGCAGAGTGTAAGCCACCGCCTGGTACCAGCACTGATGCCAAGAAGGTTGAAGTAAGCATTGAGAACTATTTATAATCCGACTCAGTTGCAACGAGAGGTCTATCCAATAGGATGGACCATTTGACTGGAGCGAGCCGCTGCAAGGCATACTACTCAGTTGTTACTTCTGGGGCTACCTGGTCTCACAAATTCCACTGGCGCATGTGGCCGAGAACATATCTGCCAAATGGGTGGTATTTTTCTCGGTCGCCATCAATGTGGTGTGCACGATTCTGACGCCAATCCTAACTAAACTGCACTATGGCGGCCTGATAGCAATGCGATTGCTGGAGGGCATTGGGGGTGGTGCTTCATTTCCTGGCATGCACGTCATGATTGCCGCCTGGGCACCAATCAATGAGCGAATGGTAATCTCTACAATTACCTACGTAGGCACGTCCGTGGGAACGGCACTCTCCATTCTTATGTCTGGGGTGATAGCCGTGAAGTTTGGCTGGGAATGGGTGTTCTATGTCATGGGTGGCCTGAGCTGCATTTGGATGATACTGTGGATTTTCATGGTGCAAGACAATCCCAACAAACAGCGCTTCATCAGTGAACAGGAGCGTGAACTGATTAACGACTCATTGGGCACGACAGGAGATGAAGAGCACCCGCCAGTACCTTGGCGTAAGGTCTTCACTTCGTGCCCCTTCTGGGCCATTGTGGTTGCGCACGTTTGCAGCAACTGTGGCTGGTACATGTTCCTCATTGAAATACCCTTCTACATGAAGCAGGTGCTTAAGTTCAATGTGGCGAACAACGCGGTGCTGAGTGCCTTGCCTTACGTACCCTTCTTCTTCTTTAGCATTTTCATAGGAAAGCTTCTGGTCGTATTGGTGACAAAAGGTAAGCAACTGTTTGTTCTACAGACTTTTTTCCAAAACCATTACATCCCGATTTAATTTTATGTAGGGAAATTAACCACTACTTGCGCCCGAAAGATAGCAACATCTATCGCTAGTGTCATTCCGAGCATTTGTCTGATAATCCTATGCTTTATCGGCTGTCGGCACTACGAGGCCGTGGGCGTTATGTCCGTTGGCATAGTAGCCATGGGCGCCATGTTCTCCGGCTTTCTCTCGAACCATATTGATATCGCACCAAATTTTGCTGGCACTCTGATGGCGCTCACCAACACCTTGGCTACACTTCCGGGCATCATTGTGCCCCTGTACGTGGGATATGTCACTAAAGGAAACGTAAGCTAGGCGCCAACAGATGACTGGCAGCAATATCTCTAATTGATATTCATTTCGTTCTTACAGCAAACCATTGGCGCTTGGCGACTTATTTTTGCCCCGACAATTGTTTTGCTGTTAGTCGAGTTTGTGTCTTACCTTATATTCGGCACCGCCAAGGAGCAACCCTGGAATAATGCAGCAGCTAAGACCTCATAAAAATATTGACTTAAAATGTGTGAGTTCCTCTGGTTCGTGAGCAGCTCGTGCGAACACATTGAAATGCTCCTACTCGTGAGCAATTCGTAAATGTTAAAATAAAAAGTGTCAGGGTGGCATAGCTAATCAGTATATTACAATTGGATTGCAGGATTGTGAGGGATTACATGGAAAGCAAATGCGTAGTCGGATTTTAAGCACATTAGTAGTAGTGGATAAAATATATGTATGTGCATATGATACTGTATAGATCGTTGTAGTCTGCCGCTGCCCAAGTATTTATCTCTCTTCATTTTCCATCCAAAGTACTAACAACATTATTTAATTTTCAAACGCTTTATAGTGGAAACTTGCATATCGCATTATTAGGAAATTTTACAAACTTATATAATACTTGAAGGTTATCTTTTATATAAAACATATTCTTATTGATCACATTAACAATTCTGTATCCGATCATAGAAGAAATAAAAAATCAAATTGGACTGAATTTAAATAGTACATTAAAATGTAACGGCGTCGACTGTTTCATTCCACTATTCCTTTTCAGTCATTGCGCACAAGGGTGCTGCCAACGCGTGCTTAATGCTACTGCCGAACCGGCAACTAATATAAGGCAACAAAGTTATACGATTATGTGATCATGTTGAAAGCACGCAATGTTTTTATGTTGCAACGCCGTTGGAAAGGCGGCAAGAAGCGCTGGAATGCTCTGCAATTCAAGAAGACCAACTGTGATCGCGCCCTGGAAAGTTTTGACGACTTCTATGGCTCCGTGTACGGCACACGTTGGAAGAACATGAGGGTGGCTCTACTGACAGAGCACAAGTACATTGCCATGGTGAACAATTTTGGAGACACGGAACAAACGTGCAGCATGCTGGAGATGGATGGCGCTATCAATGTGAAGTCACTCATCAATGTAGCGCGTGAGCGCCTGGATGGCAAAACAGACAACAGCGTATCCACTAAGCTCCCGTCAAGTAATAATGTGGACAGCAAGTTGGATGCGCTGTTGAAAAAGCAGCAGGAGCGTGAAATGGCCTCCATATATCCAAGTGCAAGCGAGGACGGCATGCCCCAGCAGTTGAATTACAATAGCAGTGAGAAAAACCAAAGTACACAGGAAGAACTTGAACCGCAAGACTTTAAGCAGAGCTTAACAAAGGCGCTTGAGGAAGACGTGCATCTAGATGAGAAGCGATTGGTAGACCCACAATTTGGTACTGGTGGTCTCTATGAATATATGCCGGCGCATAGTATCAAGGGTATGGAGGATTGGGTAGCCGAATCAGAACATTATAAATACTATAAGACCAACGACGCCTTTCCCCTAAGAATCGAACTGGAAGACTCATTTCAGTTCCCGGAACACCTGGCTCTCTATACATACGAAATGGGAAACTGTTCTAACTTCAAAGCCCCAAAGAAATGTTTAACGGGTGTGCTGTCACATTTTCTAATGGATGGCGCCTCTACGCTTCCGCCACTCTTTCTGCAAATACAGCCAGGCGATCGTGTTCTGGACGCATGCGCTGCGCCTGGAGGTAAGTCGCTTCTCATGCTGCAAACTCTTCACTCTGATCTGTTGGTGTGCAACGATGTGCAGGAATCGCGCGTGAACAAGCTGCGGCGCGTCATGCAAGAGTACCTGTTCGACTTTAGGGAACGCTGGGAGGGCAAGCGATTAATTCTCACCCAGAGCGATGCCCGAAACTTAAGCGAGTATGCCAGCTATGACAAAATATTGGTCGATGTGCCCTGTACCACCGATAGACACTCGCTCATGGAGCAAGACAACAACATATTCAAGCCGACACGCATTAAAGAGCGTCTGCGCATACCGGAGCTACAGGCTGGTATTCTCGCCAATTGCCTCCGACTACTGCGGCCAGGCGGAAGCTTAGTCTACTCCACCTGCTCGCTCTCTCCGGTACAAAATGATGGTGTAGTGCACATGGCGCTGGAGAAGGTATTCACGGAGCATGGCATCACGACGACTATAAAGGACCTGAGTCTACAAGTAGAGCTGTTTAGCGATATTTTTAAATTTGAATACCCCAAGGGATTAAAATATGGACAAATGGTGATTCCATTTCTGCCGGCCAACTTCGGACCCATGTATTTTAGTAAAATTGTAAGGAATACCTAAAACGATGATGATGATGATGTATGAACTACATTTGCTTTTCGACCTTCTTCTTTTTTTTGGGCTTAATCGGCAAGGGGCCGGGCGTTTTGAATATTGTGCTGCAAATAAAAGAAATACTTTTAATGGCACGGAGTTGGTATTGAATCGTGAAGTAAATATACGCACTGGCAGGTTGTACAAATGGGGCTATATTTGCAAAATACCGACAGGCACACCGAGCACACATATCCAATGTCGATCAGTTCGCGATGACAGAAACAGGAGGCACGATAGTCAACCTTGGGCGGCGGTGGCAACACCAATTTGTGCCGCATTTGTGGGGCAGGCAGGAAGACCCACAGCAAGTATTGCAATAAGCCATCCAACTGAGTGACCTTAAGGAATTGGCCATTGGTTATATCGCAGCCCTGCTGCAGTAAGCTCAGCGTTTTGTCGAGCGCGCAGGTGTCCACAACAATGCCCAGCTTTTGGGCAGTGAAGAAGACATTCATAAACGTCATGTACTGGGAGGCGCATTCATTGCTGCCCGTGACGACCAAAATGCGAGAATGCATCTTAGCGCCGGCGGCAACATTACGTTGCAGCTGCAAACCAAAACAATAACAACAACAATATTTTACAGATTCCCATTCTTTATCAGGTTAATAACTCACTCGTGATATATAACAGAGAGCCATTGTCATGCTGCCAGCTAGGAGGCTCTCGCATGGCGAGCTCAAGCGTGGAGCATTCATCAGTATGTTGCCCAACTGTTGTTTGACCGTCTTCTCTACCAGACTAAACGCCTCATACTGCCCATCGATCTGACGCAACTCCACCTGGCGACCGGGCACCGGGTAAAGAAAATCACTGAGCCGGCGTTAAGCTGAGCGATAACCAATTGAGATACGTTACTTACGTAGAATGATGTGAGCAAGAGATCACGGCCAGTTGATTCTGCGCTTTTTGCATGAGATGCGCATTTCCGAATGCAATTATGGACTCCAACACCTGTGTGAGATTTTGTGGGCTTTGTCGCACAAATTGCTGAGAAGGATTTGTATCCAGTACAATGACCAGAAGGTCAATGGAAGACTCGGCTGCAAATGAAAAATACTCAAACATGTGAAGACTACATTAATGTTCATTAACTTACCTTCTTTAGTGGCCGCTTGTTCCACTGCGTCCATTTTTCTTTAAAAAAGAAACAAAACTTCTTCTTACCGTCGCTTCTAGTACTTTGCCATTCACAGTGGTCTCTGGACAGCTGTTTATGTGCAACCGTTTGTGGTTGGTTGTGGGCGTTTCAGTGAGCGGTATTATTCACAGATTTTTATTCATTAAAAACAAACTAAGCCTATTGTTGTTGGCGACCACTTGCAAGATGCTTGTTCTAGTGCTTGGAGATCTGCATATTCCACATCGCTGCAGCAGCCTGCCAGCCAAATTCAAAAAGCTGCTGGTGCCCGGCGGAGGTAAGATTCTAATCTATTTTCGCAACTGCATATGTATGTGAATTCTTCAATCACTTCCTCTGATGGCTTGCCTTGTTTATGTATAGGTCGTATACACCATATCCTGGCCACGGGTAACATTTGCACGAAGGAATCGTACGATTATCTTAAATCGCTGGCCAATGATGTGCACATAGTGCGCGGGGACTTCGACGAGAATCTCAGCTATCCGGAGCAGAAGGTGGTGACTGTGGGGCAATTCCGAATTGGCCTTTGCCATGGACATCAGGTTGTGCCACGTGGGGATCCGGAAGCCTTGGCACTAATACAGCGACAATTGGATGTGGACATACTGATAACGGGGCATACGTACAAGTTCGAGGCATATGAGCACGGCAACAAATTTTATATTAATCCGGGCTCGGCTACGGGAGCTTTCAATCCGCTTGATCCGAACGTGGTACCCTCATTTGTGTTGATGGACATACAAAGCACGACGGTGGTCACCTATGTGTATCAACTGATCGGTGACGAGGTAAAAGTTGAGCGTATAGAATACAAGAAGATATAGGATCAATTCAACCGCACCAATCATTCCTCCAGCAAGTCTAAGGTAATTTGTTTTGAAATTTAATTCAAATGGGCAATAAAAAAGCTGTTAACGTAACATACTTTGGACCTGTACTCATATATGTAATACCTTCATACTTGTTTTATTTGAAATGCCGAGTATGTGCGAAATAAAACACGTTTCTTTTTTATATAATAAAAATGTATACATTTTATTTAAATATAAAAGTGTTATGTTTTTGTTGCTTGATGATCTTATGTGCAATTTTAATTGAATGAATAAGTCTGTTCAAAATTTACCCAATATATTATATTTAATTGAAATACATTTAGTTCGGATCGTTGCTTTTGCATTGAAATCAAAATAAATACTTTTTAGCTAGCTTTTTTTTAAACAATTTTCGAAATTAAAACCGCAGTCATTCTAAATCTTGGCTAAACACGTGAATTAATACGGAGGAAAGAGAACAAAGCACGAACAAAATTATCTTAAAATGTCATAAATACACAATACATTAAATTAACCCTTTGCATATGAACTTTGCACTTAAGATTAATTATTTAGCTGGTTAGCCAATATATGTGATATCAAAATGTCTGCAGTTTCCATTTCACTGCACAAAAGCTACTTTGGGCGCACCTTTTAGCCAAGGCTGTCCACGCACACAGTCTTGAGGGTCTTGCCGGCAATGGTAGTCTTGTACTGCTCCGGCAAAGCCAGCTCGGTCTGAAATCCAAAAACGCATACATATACGTATTAGATATTGGCTCTACAACGAACAAATTGCTCCACTTACATAGTCGCCATTGGCTTGAGGCAACAATATATTCATCTCGGAAGACTTAGAGCTGACAATCTCAACACCCAGGGAGTCTTTCGACAGATACATTTGGCAGCCGTCTGTCTTGTCAATGGAAACCGTTGGCACATTGCCCAACACCTGCATCTGGACGCTCTGGCAGTTCACAAATTCAACGGAGGCCACGACCGAATCGAAAAGGAGCGAACACTTCTTGCACGAGTCCAGCACAATGTTGTTCACCTTGCCCTTTACTGTCAACGTGGACCCTTCGCATTTGAACATATAGACCACATTGTTCATTTCGGCATTCTCTACAAGTAAGCCGGTGTTTTTCTTCTGATACTCGATCAGCCACTTCTTGCCGTCGCGCGTGAAAACAGGATCTTTGACAACCGGAGCGGCGGGTCCTCCGCCTGCATTGCCGTGCTGGGCAGGGGTCTTGAAAGGTGCCGGGCCAGTACGCAACGTGGGATTCTTATGGGTCTGCATATCAGCCGTCACTTTTTTCAAATCTGTGCGATTAAATGGAGAACGATTAATACACATACTATAATCGAAGAGGCTTAGAAGTATGATATTAAACAGGCTTTACTCCAATACTTTATTGAAAGCTAAGCTAACAAATGTTTTATTTATAAAAGATTTGTAATGTCTGCAATCAATATAAGAAAGTACTTGTTTTGGTTCAACGCCTATTCGTAATCCATGTGATTTATTATAATAAGCACTCACTCTGGGTTATGGCTGCTCCCTGGTTGATCTGCGCAAAGAGTGCGCTGCGGTCATCGCCGCTGCTGTCGAGCTTAAGTGCGTCCAAGTCTAATGGTGGCGGTGGTGGAGGTAAGCCGCCGGGTGGTGGTGGTGGTGGGGCACCGCCAGCAGGAGCAGCCCCCTTGCCGGACCACACCAGACCCGTGGTATGATACTGTTTGATGTAAGCCTGCAGCTCGGTAAGTGTTTGTACCCAGGCGCGTGCCCATTCCACATGCTTGGCATCCTTCTCCTTCCATTCCTTCAGAACGCGATTCGTATAGAATTGGCCGGCATCGTTCATTTCCTTCACATGTGGACCTGGTGTGGGCGAGACGCACACCCAGCCCAGTGCTGGAATACTCTCACTTATTGCCGACAGATGATTGAAGAAGGGAGAGGCGCGTTGTTTCTCACGGAAGTCTTGTATCGCGCTTATCTGCGTCGACGTTGGTTTCAGCAACTCCATCTGCTTAGGCTGTGGCGGCTGTGCTATTTGGGTGGCCAGCGTCACATATTGCAGTTGGGCGCTAAGAATGAGAAAAGCGAGAAAATTAGTGAGGCACCCATATTGGGGAACCACGAAAAACTCACTCGAAGGCCAACTTGACGAACTGGGCGTGCTGGGCCACATCGCCTCCAATCTTGGCAGACAGCGCCAGATATTGGCTCAGCGGTCCGGCAATGATATCCTGATAGCCGTTAACACTCATGTTGTTTGTTGATGTTTGCACTTCAATATGCAGGGATTGCTCAACTATTGGCGACTCCTGTTGTGGCTCTGCTTCAATTTGTTCGACCTCCGGCTTCGGTGGATCTGGCTCTGGCTCTGGCAGCGACTGCGGTATGATGAGCGTTCGTTCTAAGCGGTCCACTAGCGATTCCAAGCGTTCGCAAATGCTCTCCAGATGATCGGCTGCAGCCGTGGGCTTCGACTCAGGATCGTTCTCTGTGAAGAACATGGGATTATAATTTTCTTGACAGATGTAGCCTTGTGCGTTTGTTTTTGATTTTAATGTGTGCGTAATTTAGGCGTAGGTACAAAAAAGTGCATTCCAACATTGAGATCGCACAGAAAATAATTGAATGACCATTAAACATGAAAACGAACCAAAAAGTTACCTCCGTCAGCCGCAGTCCCAATTCGCGACCCAAGAGTGATGCCTAACCATCAGATAAAACATTCTTAATAATCAATTTGATTTACATATGCTTTTTAGTACAAGATATATCAGTTCTACGGTAATTACTTGTATATGTTATAGTAACTGACGTGGTCGATGCCGATCTGTGTTCGTCGAAAATGGGCCTTGGCGAAAACTTTCATTACAATAGCTCTAATAATGTGGGAGGTGTAGCGATTGAAACAGAAAGGCGGACGAGGATTGATTTGGATTCGAATTATATACCCTTACACTTTCGGTTAAGATATATTTCTTATTCCAGCACCTTATTCCTTCTAAATTTGATTAATAACCGTGCAATCATTTTTTCAATATCAAATTAATATTATAATAATATGGAATAATTTTATGAAGTAACGGATAAGTGTTCGTATAAGATACGTTCTTTCAACACCGTTCTTACAGCCAAGTAGCGAACATATTGAATTTCTTGTATAAACGTGATGTTTGGTGGTCTCAATCGACTCCTAACTGAATAAGCTAGAAGCTTACAGCTTACAAATACTACATACAAATCCCTTAGGAAGCAATCAATAGTTCAGAGATTTATAAAAAATTTCTGAAACGCTCGTTTCGTTAGTCAGTATTACTACTTTGATCATTTATATCACGACTGTCTTAACGATAATGAGTCATATAATGAATGTAGTTTATTTTGAATAATGACGTAAAAATAGAAAAGTGATTATTACTATTGAAAAAGGAATTAATTTAAAACTCATTTATGTGCCGGAACGTGCTAAATCGTTTATGATGAGCAGTTGGTGGTATGGAGGAGTACTTATATGGTATAAGTTTATAAACATTTATGGCTTATGAACATTTTACATACAACAATTACAAAAATTATAAATTACGATTGCCAACAAGTGCACGACAAAGTTAAGAAATATTCAAGGAAGATAGAAATAGGGGCGGCGCCTTAATTATTTTTTTTTTAATTTATAAAGTTTAGAATGCGTCTAGAAATTACGGCATGCAAAAGAGGAAAGAGCCGCAAGGCCATTTACCGCCAGTGCGCACCGCCACGCTGTGCTCTACGGCGGCATGGGCGGCACGTAGAAGCTCCGTGTAGAGTCGTTGCCTTTTCAATTCCAACTCGTCACGTCCAACGGGCGTAACCGGTGGTTCAATACAGCCGCTGTTTTTGGAAATCAGCACGAATGCGCGAATGGACAAATAAGATAATTTTAAATATGGAAAAATCCAGAATTGTGAGGATTCACAAATAATTTTATAATGCATACATCTCGTTCAAGCGCTCATCGTCGAACCAAGCGGGGAGTCCATGTGTGAAGGCAAACGTTTCGGACACTGTATCGCCCTCAATGTAGGGAGCACACATGCTCTCCCGCTTGGGCGGTGGCAGCGAGTCCGAGAAGACCTCATCATCGTCGGCGATTGAGTTGCTAATGAGCAGAGGTGGCAATGGTTCCGGCTCAATTATCTCGGCGCGTGTACTTATATTCACTTTCTTTTTGATCGAATGATGAGTGGAATTATGGCGCGATAGGCAGCTCTTTGTCGGCGCCGTCTTGTGGCTACATATGGGTTCCGTATCCGAAACTACCGCGGAAGACACTGCGACAGCGTCTTCATCTTCTGGCGTCGCGCTGGTCATTGAGGCAGGCGGCGCCGTTGACGTTGAAGAGTGCGTTGAACGCCCCGATAATAGCACCGGCGACACTGATGATGATTTATCAACGGTGCTTTGAGCGGCTGTGAATACGTCGCTTGATTACTACACATTAATTACGCAAGTGTAATATAAACATGTCACTACTACATGGGTTGCTCTTAAAGTTTTTTTTACATCTAAGTACCTATGACTGTTTTTCCTCCCGAGTAAAGGTATAATAATGGTAAACCCTACTAACGTGCCTGTTACACCATTAACCCTTTCGAAAATGCTCATGCTTGGAGACTTGTCATCATCATTTCTGGTCCACAACTACTTCTTAAATACAAGTATATCATAAACTTATGAACCACGCTTAACGGAACTCTAAAAATAATGCTGCCTCCCTGACCTACTCCAAAACATAATGGCATGTTATATAATTAGACCCTTAACAAATATCTTAAAGTATCTAAGGTGCGAAGAAAATATGTTTCAATAACTCGACTGACTAACCATGAAATATGGACTTAAATAGTACTGTTTTTTATCAGCAATTATTGAACGGGACGGACGGACTTTTGCTTCCCCCACATAATATACTCTTTCACTGTGGAATGAACACTTTTTGGAGCTATTAATTGAACGTGTTCGTATAGTTTTTGATGTATATAATAATATTTTGTATACATTTTAATTTATGTTTATTCATTGAATATAACCATCGACTATAGATATTTTTTGTTGCTCCCTTCCCATCTCATAGTACCATTATTTTCAACAAATACTAAAGGGACTTTTACTCCCTGTACATATATGTATACTAATTTTGATTTATTTAAAAGTAGGTACAATCAGAAGCCTTAATCGATTTCAAATCATTTTGTTTCAGTTGCTCTATAGACTCCTCAAAACATTAAGCACAACCCACGTATGCTGTTGCATTAAAGATAAAACATGAAATAATATTTTGTACGTAAATAACAAAGAACTAAATATATAAGTATGTGAAAGACGTATACAGGGCCGACCGCTTCGGAAAGGTCAGCACCTGGTGCAACACAAAAGCCGCGCGTTAAACTAAAGCATAGCATGTTGCAAGAGTTAGAAGTAGAGACGCGGTAGGGCAGAGAGTAAAGCTTGCATTACACAACTTAGAATAGCATGTCTGTCTATATACCAATTTCGGCGTGGACATCATTATTACTGATGGCAACATCGACGGCCCCAATATCACCATTATCATCCGCAGCATCCATGGCGTGATTCTGTTCCTTGACCTGCGTTGAGGCGGAGGTGTCTGTCAGAGGAAGCTCGTGAATGCCATTTAGTTTGCTTATTTCCGCTGCATCTTCGCTTTTGGGGCTGTGGCTTGAGGGCGGCGTCTCTGCACACCCCTCGTCGTCGTCGCCTTGCTTATGCTTATCCTTATCCTTTTTCGCGACTTTGGAATTAGCGCGACAACATGAGAACATTTTGTGGCTGTTTAGGGGTTTGACTTTAAATACACGTATCAATGATCTCAAGCATTATATAATTTTCTTCTTGTTGAATTAACACACAGCAAAGGCGAGCAAGTGTAACAAGCGGCAGCAGCAGCCTCTTTGGAAGGAATCGTTAGGAGGGGCAGCGACAATGCCGAAAGCAAATTAAAAGGTAAGCGCAGAAAACAAAAGAAAGCACTCCCTTTTTGTGTATGTATCGTTCTTATTAATCAATTCACACGCACTTTTGTTTTATTTTTCACATGAAATATTATCGCACATTTATACGACACACTTTTTTTATTTTTCGCTAAATAGGGACAGTTTGCCTGGGCACGGCAACAGCTCGCCCCAATTGGGTCAAATGACTGAATGGCACTCGAAATTTTTCTCAACTTTGAATGCCGCACACACAGCTGCTGTTGCAGCATGGGGTTGCTGTTGTTGCTGGTGCCGGAACACACCCTAATATAAAAGGTTCGAGGCGCACATACACATACGCATACACACAGGAGCGAACAGCTTTTTTCCTGTTCAACAGTGCGATGTTAGATTCATGTTAACGCCAAATTTTTGGGGCTAGCTATTCAAAATTAAAGCACGAGCACACGCCATTTCTAAACACTGTTATTATGATTGTCGTCAATTATGGTTGCATTTGTTTTTGTTTTGTGTTTCATGGTCATGGCTGAATTAAATGCAACATGCACTTGACCAATTGCGGCTAACAAATGGATGTGCAATGAAATCGGCTTTTAATATTCGGCATACGACTATGTATGGCTGGTTGGTCAGTGAATTAAAGCTGCCTGGCTCGACGTCTTGTTGTTCGTATTGTTGTTATTGCTCGTGCAATAGCGGGAGAAAGCTCCATCTCTAATGAAATAGCCAGCAAAGAGAGTTGCCGCCTAAAAGAGAGCTACCGCCACTGACTTGCGCAGGCAGACTTTATTGCAACAATAAGTTTAACGACCGAATCCGCAGCAACCAACCGGCCAAGATGTTTTTGTTGCATATGCTGCTATTGTTGTTGTTGGATTTATGTGTATATTAACTAGCTGCAAACAAATGATAGCAATTAGAGTGAGAATCCGTCTGGCATGCAACAGTGGGTTCGACGGACCGTTTCTTTGCAATGGCGCTACAACTTTCGCCCGGTCATAATACTAGTTCTTGTCGTTGTTTTTGCTGTTGTTGTTGACAGCAGATGCGTTGGCTGCGTATTTTAAACTAGAATTCAAATGCACACGCACACACAACTAAAGAAGTAGGCAGGCTAACACACAGAAGATTAAATGTCTGCGGCAGTTTTACCGTTAAGTGGTATACGAGTATCTGTACATACATATGAGTCAACTTCTCAGATTACAATAAATTAGAAAATTAATAAACACAACAGTAACTTCACATATGACTAAAGCAAATGAAAAAACTTGGCAAAAAAATATACATTTATTATACATACACATATATTTATTAATCACTAACTACACACACAGTCATTTGTTGATAGCCATTTTTGGACATTTTCGCTTACATACACACCAAATATACAGTTCGCTCTTGCGTAAACTTTCAAGTGACAGGAGTCAGAGAATAACAAGAGCAAGACACAACAAAAATAAAAGGCTGCAAAAAGTGAAACAGCTGAGCTACTGGAAAGAAAAGGGATTACACTTACATATTTTTCAATTCGCGCAATTCGAATTTATATGAAATCATCATTAAAAATATACCACAATAAACAAACATACATATTAGTATGTATCTACATGCATACGTATGTGTTTGTATTTAATTTTACAAAACAAAAATGATTCATACAAAAATAGCCAGCAAAATGTTAAATGGCTTGGAGCGTCGCTGTCACAGCTGTCTCTTGTATATTCGCAGCCACTGACATGCAACATTACTCCCACACACGAACCAACTACATACATACGTACATACAAACATATGTATGTATGCATATACATATATGTACATAATGTGCTACCACAATTCTAGCCCGCCTGCCTCAGAGGCCAAGGCGTAAAGTAACCCCACCCAATAAACGAAGCCGGCACTTTTCTCTAGTTTTTGCAACCCCCTTATAAATGTATACACCGTTTTGCACGCATTTGAATTACGAAAAGTACACAATATTACACACACATTGCACTTAAATATAAATTTGTATGCACTTACCACAGGTCAAAGAAAAATCTCTTTGGATAATTTATCAATAAACAGCCACTGACAAGAGCCGCGACATCAACTGTTGTGCGAAAGAAGAACCTACGACAAATGATTAGCAAATAGCAATCGGCTAGTCACTGCCAGATTGTTATCGATAAAATACTTTTATTCGTTGCGAATGGCAAGATTTTCGGCTACGGGCAGTCAATTGATGTCGCAGCCCTGGCAGAACACGTATTTCCAACTTAAATTCTATCGCAAAAGTTCGTTAAGTAAAAAAGTTCGAAATGTCGCTTAATAAAGAATACTTTTGATCTGCAGCAGACATTTAAAACAAACGCAAGTGTCTGATTAACAACCTGTTGGTAACTCTCTAACATAAACTTTGTAGGTTATGCCTGTCCCTTGCAGCAGTAACAACACAATTAAGCAGCACAGGAGCGGAGGCAAGAACTGCAAACATTCCAGCCGCAGCTAATGTAAATATTATGGAGCTGCTATATCAATTATTGGGGCGGCTACTTTTTCTCCTGGTCCGTATATATGAACTATTATGGCTACTCCACTTGCGTTTACACGCTCTTGTCTGCCGGTCATATGACTACTGGCGCAGCAAAGCTGCGCGTGAACGCTGCGAGCGTGCGATACTTGAACAATGCAATGCAGAGCTCACTAAACGCCCGCAACATCTGGTTATTGTCGTGTCCCCAGAAGATAGAACCGTTGATGTTCCCCTTTTGGAACGCATATTCAGCTACGCTTGCATCGTAAACATCTATCACATTAGTGTGTACGATACTCGAGAACGCGGCAGTGGGTATGTAGACTTGGAAGAGGTGTGCGAGCGCATGGGTGAAGAGAGGAGCTTGGTGTGGCGGCCCCACCAAATTAAAGAACAAAGGACAAAACCTAATAGTAGTTCTAAGAACAGCAACATGCTGCCAAAAGGCGAAGCGAACGGTTGCAAGCACAGCGCGCAATTTCACGAGCTGCAGGTGAGTAAGAACAAGCAAGCCGATAAGTAGAGCGCTTATCAGTCTTCAATTAACGATAGTTCTCGTCTTATCTACAAGTCCTAATAGCTATCTGCTGTCGTACTGTAGGTAAACCAAATCAGCGCCGCCGACGGCCATGCACTTATAGCCGAGGTATGCCGGGAATTGTATGATAATCGGGGCACCCCGCTGGTCCGAAGTCTACTTGATAAACGTGAAGAACTGACGAACCACATTAGCACGCAGCTCGCCAAACGTCTTGGCTTGACTGTGCCTGAGCCGGAATTGGGTATCATTTTTGCCCGCCAAACATGCACATATGGCCTACTTCCATGGCATGTCCGCTTCACTGAGTTTCACACGCATGTCAGCGGTAGTTACTTTGGCGTTAAAACATTTGCCAATGTGCTCTACAAATACTCGCGTTGCGAACAGCGGTGGGGCAAGTAAGAAAAACCTCTTCATTGTTCATGTAAATATAAAATAAACTAAATTATAGCTAAAAAAAAAAGTTGTCAAAAACAAAAATTAAATCCCACATAGAAATTTAAGTATAATGTTAATGCCCATGTAAAAACAAAACGGGATTTAAACGCTCTATTCTATATACATACACATTTACGAAAAAATTAAAACCATGTTCGATATAAAGTTTGTTATGTACTTGGGTCAGGTGATTTACTAAAGAAATTTATTTTTTTGTTTATCGCAGCTTCTATACGATAACACTAGGCTTCTGATAGGTGATAATTATTATGAAAATATTCTGTACTGGATGCTATTTATGAGGTTTATGCTTAATAAACCATGCTTTATTTCTATTCCAAGTGAAACAACATGGGGTCTATGTTAAAAAAGTTCAAATTTAAAATAAACAGATTGCACAAATTTACATGTAAAGGCATTCATGTGCAATCGAAAACATTCTTGGCTTAAATGCTACAGTTCTTGTTAAGATACATACAACGGTGGACAAAAGTATTTTGACATTAGAAAAATAAAAATGTTACGGAGCTTTTTATACTCTGTACATAAAATGTACAAGAGTATAGTATATTAGGTTTACGGATGGTGCAAAATGTAACATTCATAACGAGGGGGACTCCCATAAAGTATATATATTCTTGATCATCATGACAAGACGAGTCAATCTAGCCCTGAACCACACACATTCACGCATAATTATTCTACTCATACATACATAGTATTTCAAAGTTGGGACAATCGGTAATCAATTAATTCGTGATGAATTAATGCAGATAACACAGTCATCGGCAACCCTATGTCTCTTGCTGGTTGCTGCAACAAATTCGGGATACATATGCTTCGCAACACTTTGTTTAACTCTAAGCAGTGTTATATTTTGAGCATTTTGCTTTACTGCGATAACTTTTATTCTCCAAAGAACTAGTTGAAAATTAAACGGAAGTGTGTTAACACCCCTTCATAATCCATTGACTTAGGTATTCAACAAGAATTTACTCTGCAACAAATTAATTTGTGAACAATTATTGGTTAAGATATGAAACAAAAAAGAAATGGCCCACAGCCGACGATTTGGTTATAACAACAAATTAAAACATTTTGAAGCAGATTTTAAATGAAAATCATGAACAGGGAATGAAATTAGTTAGCACTTGGGCGAAAGGACGTAAGCGTTGAGACAGAACTCAGCATATCTCAAGGATACTTTTGTTTTGAACTCAGTGGCAATGGAATGTCAGCATAAAACACGGTTTCCAACGCTCAGCATTCGCCAACGACCATACCACGCTGAATACATCGGTTCTCGTCTGATCACCGAAATTAAGCAGCGTCGGGCGCGGTTAGTACTTAGATGGGGGGACCGCTTGGGAACACCGCGTGTTTATTTATTTATTTATTTATTTATAAAAAAATCAACAAATTTACTGTCAATAAATAATTGGTAATATTAGAAAGTAAAATAAAAATATTTATAGTATTACATTATAAGTTAAACTTAAAAGATAAGAAAGCCTAAGGGAGAGCTATACAATGACGTCTATTAATGCCTCCGACACGTGGGGGGAATTTTATTTGCCAGTTGGCCAGCTATGCCCCGATTCACAGCCAAATGTGGTCAGAGACATTATAGACCTAACAAACTAAACAAATAGCAAGTAGAAGAGAAGAATTAATTCTACTTAAGAACTAATTAGAAAAAGTAAGGTGTAGAAAGAGGAAGAGGAAAAAGAAAAAATAAGAGGGAAAGAGAGATACAAAGACAGAGAAAGAGAAAGAGGTAAAGAGGTAAATCTCCAACCCGGTGGGGGAAAATTTAAATGCCAGTCCGGCTAGCTATGCCCCGACTCACAGCAGAAGTGGTCAGAGATTTTCCCGAAGATAATTATAAAGAATAATCTTTACCGAACAGAGAGAGAGTTCTGTCGAAAGTAAGTGTGAAAGATCATTATAATTACTGCAAATGACCCGAAAACGATTGTGCAAAGCGTAATCGGTTGTGCATCTAGCCAATATGAACGGCAAATAATTCCTTGTTGGTCTACAAGGAACTGAAAAATTAAGGCGACCTAAGAGGGCAGAGGAGTCAACCTCACCGATAACTAACTTGTGGAGAAAAACTATTCCAAGAACAGTCCTACGATTTTCTAAAGATGGAAGGTTTATAAGTAATAGTCTACTTGAATACGATGGCATCAAAACATTAGGATCCCAGTTAAGTCCGCGTAAAGCAAAAAGCAAGAATTGCTTCTGAACAGATTCAATACGCTCCTGATACTTTCTATACTGTGGACACCAGACACAAGAGCAGTATTCAAGCACAGGGCGTACTAGAGACGTGTACAGAAGTTTGGTAGTATAAGGATCAGTAAATTCCTTGGACCATCGTTTAATGAATCCAAGTACACCCTTAGCTTTATTTACAATGCTAGAAATGTGAAGATTGAAGTTCAATTTGGAATCAAAAAGAACCCCAAGGTCTTCAACAGTCGATATACGCTGCAATGGCACATTGTCAATCGTATATGTGACTAAGAGGGGCAAAGTTCGATGAAAGGTCATGAACTTACATTTAGAGCAATTGAGGTACAAGCGGTTTACTATGCACCAAGATTGCATGCAGTTCAGATCATCCTGCAGGCGTTGAAAATGAAGAGGGTTTTTGTAAGATAGAATAAGTTTCACATCATCAGCATACATAAGTATATAAGAGTGTGACAAGATAGAGGGGAGGTCATTAATAAATAATGTAAAAAGTAAAGGGCCAAGATGACTACCTTGAGGCACACCTGATGATGCATAAACGGGCTTAGAGATATGCGACCTGAGCAAAATTCGTTGGGTCCTATTTTTTAAATAGGACGAAATCCAACGCAACAAATCGGCAGGAAATCCTATGCGGCTAAGCTTAAAGAGCAGAAGGTCATGGTTAACAGAGTCAAATGCTTTACTGAAGTCAGTGTAAACGACATCAGTCTGCATTTTTAGAATAAATGCCTCATTTACCAAAGAAGTAAATTCCAGCAAATTGGTCGTAGTAGACCGTCTCTTAATAAAACCATGTTGAGCAGGAGATATGACAGATTTGCAGAGATGCTGCAAAGTGCCGCAAACTATTTTTTCAAATAATTTTGGTATAGCGGACAACTTTGCAATACCTCTGTAATTCGAAATATCAGACTTACCACCCTTTTTATATAAAGGAATTATAAAAGATTCTCTCCAAATAGCTGGAAAGATTGAAGAACTAAGTGACAGATTAAAAAGTTTAAGCAATGGTTGTAAAAGAGAACTAGAACATTCCTTGAGTACACAACTAGGAATGTTGTCTGCTCCAGGAGAGTACGAAGACTTCAAGGATTTGATAGCAGAAAGTAGACAACTATCAGTAATTATGGGAGCGTAAATAGTGTGGGAAGATGAAATGCTATAAGGATAAGAGGTATTACTAATAGAGACAGAGGAATAAGTTGACTGGAAGAAGTTGGCGAACAAGTCAGCAGCTTCAGAATCATTGCTGGCTTTCTTGTCACCAAGGAAAAATGATGAAGGTAGCGAAGCAGTTTTACGTTTAGAGTTAACGAACTTATAGAACTTTTTAGGGTCCTGTGCAAATTGTATCTTACATCGGGCAAGGTAATTATTATAACACCGTGAGTTAAGAAGGACAAAATTGGATTTCGCTATAGAGTATTTATAGAAGTCAATAGTTAGGCCCGACCGCTTATACTTTTTAAAGCATCTAGATTTAACATTTTTTAAGTTGGAAAGTCGTGGCGAAAACCACGGAGGTTTTGATGACGCAGACGATATGACACAATTTGGGATACAGACATCAAAAAGAGCGTTAATAGTGTCATAGAAAAAATTTAAGGCTATGTTGATATCAACCGCACTATACAGAAAAGACCAATTAGTTGCTAAAATAAGTTCATTAAGCAAAGAAAAATTTCCTTTGTGAAAGCAACGACTTGTTTTATTAGAATTAAGTGTAGGAATTAAGGTGTGATTTGAAAATGACAGAGAGATTTCTAAAGTAGGGTGGTAAGTATCTTCAGGCACTGACAGGGGTGAAGACTTAGAGACAACTGCGCTACTAGGGTCAGTGACATAGACGAGATCAAGCATTCTACTAAGGTGATTAGGTATATGATTAATTTGAAACAAAGAAAGGTCCAACAGGCAATCCAAAAATTCATGGTCTGCAGAGGGCACCAAATAATTTGATTCATTGAGGTATGACCATTCTATGTTGGGCAAATTAAAATCACCTACCACAACAAACGCGTCGCTGTCACGAAGATGAGTAAAAATTTCTTTAATACAAGTTATATGTTGCATATAAACCTGAACATCAGAAGAGGGAGGTATGTACGAGCAAGTGATGTATAGAACAAAAGACGGAAAAGTTACTTTAACAGCAACAAATTCAACATCATTTGGCACATCTACATCAATGATTTCCGACCGAAGGTTGGATTTGACTGCAATCAGTACGCCTCCACCTCGACGACTCGGACGATCACGACGAAAGATACAAAAGTCATCTGATAAAATTTCGTTATCAAAAATCGTGGGGTTTAACCACGTTTCTGAAAACGCAATAATATTCGAATCGAAAGAAAAACTGCTCAAAAATAAATTGCCAAGCTTGGACAAAAGTCCCCTAACATTCTGATACAGAATATTAAGCGAAAAGGATCGCGAGCCTAGTTTTTTGAAGCCAAACTTGACGTTGGTTTCGAAGAAAGATTGGACTGTAAATCAACAGGCAGTGACGAAACTCGTTTTTTCTGCCTGAACTCATGAACAATCATATGTGGAGGCCAAAATTTTGGATCACATATAATTGTAAAAGCTTCCGGCGGAACACTTATTTTAAACGAGGCTATTTCACGAGGCTCAGCAAAACTAAACTTCGAAATAGACACACTAGCTGTCGATTTACTAGCAATATAGGCTGCTAAGGATTCACAAGTGGTATCAGAAGATAATCTAGATACAAAAACTTGTTTTCGGGGAGCTATCACAGTAAGAGACGGAGGCTGAGGAAGAGCTGGAATTGACGCACTTTCAGCAGTAACTGATGAAACTACAGGGGATAGTGCAGGGGATTTGGCAGTGCAAGCTTTTTTAGAAGATTTTTTAGAAGCTTTCGAG